TGTTTGGTAACTTAGGAGAGAAAAAAAAAGAAATGATTACTTAAGTAATAAATTATCACAACACATCACCATTAATGCAACCCATCACAGCATTTATTACAACAGCACTCCCCGCCGGAACAGAGCCTCCATCACCCTAAACAAGATGAGCTATGGCACAGGCTTTCGGCGAAAAAAGCACGTCACAGGAGACAGGAAAAATGATGACAAAAGGATATAAGCAAGGATAAGAGGAAAGAAAAAGGTTAAGTGATCTCTCTCTTGATCTCTCGATATACAGTTTTTTTTTATACTCTGCTCTACTAATTCTTGTACCGGAGGGTTCACTGGGGGACTACCCCGTTCCCCCCCGAACTTGCATGCAGGTCATCTGACGGAGTCTCCTTCTTGAGCCGGAGCCTGAAGAGCCTGGGCCGGTCCGACCCTTCCACCCGGGAACCGATACATCATCAAACCTTTTTATATTTTCAATCATTTTATTTCTTTTATTTTTATAGGGGTAAAATTGGTATTATGAAAATATAAACATTTGTGGATTTCTTTTCTCTCCCAATCTCTCCACTTTTGGGAAGATTGAAAATAAGGGTTATGAGAGAAATGAGTTTCTCTCCATTTCTCTTTATTTCTCCCCATTTCTCTCCACTTAAGATAACCAAACAAGGAAGAGAAATACATTTCTCTCTATTTCTTTTCTTTTCTCTCCAAATCACTCAATCCAAACACAGTGTAAAGGTCAATCTTAACCTGTAGGATTGGAGGGACTACTGGAATGTATTTTACAGTTTATGTATCAAATATTATTTTGTAATTAATTTACCAATCTTTACAGCTCTGACACTGGATAACCAAAGAACTGTGGAGGAGGACCTAGAGCTACCTTTGTTTGATTTGGTTACCATTTCAAATGCCACTGACAACTTCTCGTTTGCTAATAAGATTGGAGAAGGTGGTTTTGGTCCTGTTTACAAGGTAATTTTTTATAATTTATACGAAGTTAACAATAAATTGCTCATTGTGTTGGACTTTAGAAATGGTAAATTTCCTATATTTCTTGGCTTCCTGGCTAATATTAAGGTTGATGATAAATTATAGGGTGTGCTCCCAACTGGACAAGAAATAGCAGTGAAGAGGCTCTCCAAAACTTCAGGGCAAGGCCTCACAGAGTTCAAGAATGAGGTCATCTTGATTGCAAAGATGCAACATCGGAATCTGGTTAGGCTTTTAGGGAGCAAGGATCCTCTAGAGTGATTTTTCCCTAAAGTTTTCTAAAGTGCTACAGTGTATGGTTGAGATTTATTGGCAAGTCACATCAATTTTTCTGATGTGACTTGCCAGTAAATCTCAACCACACAATATAGCACTCTAAGAAATTTTAGGGAAATTTCACTCTAGAGGATCCTTGGTGGCTTTTAGGATGTTGTATTCATGAAGAGGAGAGGATGTTGGCCTATGAGTACATGCCCAACAAAAGTTTAGACTTACTCAGTTTCGGTTAGGGTCTAAACCTTAAAAATCTTTCATAATTTTTTCTTGAAGTATAGTGAAAGTTTCTAACTTAGTTTGAACTGTCTCAGATCAAACAAGAGTACATCACTTGATTGGAAAAAATGATTTGACATAATAGTGGGAATTGCTCGAGGACTTTTGTATCTTCATCGGGATTCAAGATTGAGAGTAATTCATAGGGATTTAAAAGCTAGCAACATTTTGTTAGACAGTGACATGAATCCTAAAATTTCAGATTTTGGGTTAGCAAGATCGTTTGGAGGTGATCAATCTGAGGAAAACACAAACAGGAAAAACACAAACAGGGTTATTGGGACTTAGTAAGTACACACCCTTTATCATTTCCCTCCGTTATATTGACTTATAGTGCTTGCCATTTGATATATTTCCTTGATGATTGCACGTAGTGGCTATATGTCTCCTGAATATGCAATAGATGGGCACTTTTCAGTGAAATCCGATGTTTTTAGCTTTGGTGTACTGGTTTTAGAGACAGTGAGTGGCAAGAAGAATAGAGGATTTTATCATCCTGATCATGACCTCAACCTTTTGGGACATGTGAGTTCAAATTCTAATGTTGTCAATTTAGAGACTTCACAAAATTTCTTACACGTGCAATTTTTCTTTTACTATAAGAAACAAATTTGTTTTATCTTGAGAGTCAAAATTTAAATTTGCTATTTGATTTAGGCATGGAAATTATGGAACAAAGGAAAGTCCATGAAACTAGTGGATGCTTTGATGAAGAGTCCGATTCCCACATTAGAAGTGTTAAGATGTATCCAAGTGGCCCTTTTGTGTGTCCAACATCCTGAAGATAGAGCAAGAATGTCAGTTGTTTTGTTAATGTTGGATAGCGAGAATCCAATGATGCCCATGCCTAAACAACCCGGCTTTTACTCAGAAAGATTTATATCTGAAACAGATTCTTCAGCAACTCCAAGAAATCCATATACTTCAAATGATCTAACCATAACCAAATTACGTGGCAGATAGAATGTTGCCCAAAATTTTTAAATGTTTCTTTGAGTAGATTGTATTGCTATGTAATTTTAATTATTCTTAACCGAACTTCTAAGTTTGTAATCTGTTAGTGGAAAAGAAAAAAAGAAGAGAATTTAATTCCTTTGCTTGTGTTTTAGTTATCCAATGATGATGTTATTGTTATTTAGTGAAACCATTTGGGATGCTATCTAAGATGAACAAGAAGGCTAGAGTTTAATTTCTCTTGTGCACTACAATGTTTAAAATTGAACAAATGGAGCCTTGAGTTGCTTGACATGTTTGCATTGCAAGCACTTGAAATTGCAAAAAAAATAAAAATAAATAATAAATGCAGTTGAATAGTTAGTTCTCTACAATCATTCTATCAATGGTCCTCACATTTTCAAATTTTTTAAGACACATATCTAATTTAATCTAGTTTTGAGGATGTCCTTGATTTAAAAAACTTGACAGAATGTGTAATATTTTTTTTAGAAAAATCTGAAATCAGTTTCATTTTCATAAATACAAGTTTTTCCTGTGTATAATACAAATCTATTATGTTTTTCCTGTGTATAAAAACATTCACACATGCAATTTTTTTTTACTATGCAATTTCTTTTTGCTATAGCTTGTGAGGTAAGAGTTTCATCCTAGGTCCAACGATTGATTTTCATTTCAATGACACATTAAGATAGTCAAAACAATTTAAGGATATTTTAGACAGTTATCCCCGTGTCACAACGGCACAGCCACTTGTTATTGCATGGCTTAGTAGAGAAGATGGAACCCATGATTTTTTTGTTAGGTGATAAAGGATATCAGAAGGTATAATGATTTGTGGTTGGTTTATGATATGTGTCATATGGTGTCCCAAATAGAAAGAACAATTTTTTGATATTTTATGGACCTCTGCTTCTAATTACAAAAAAAATAAGATGATTGATATTAAAAATTATAACAAATTTCGCTAAAAGCTTAATTATGGTACACTTACAATCTTATGTTAATCAATATTAGATAAATGTAAAAAAATTAATAATGTCATCAAAGTTTAAATAAAAATATAAATTTTATCCTTCAAAATTTATTTTAGTACTTTTAAACAATAAATTAAAAATTAATTGATCAAATTGCACCTTCCAGATTCAGTTAAAACCCACCACCCCAACAACCACCACTACCAATTTCTATCTCTCACATGCATTTTTTCAAACACCTTATATTCATTGTTAATCACCCAAACAATATCTTTCCTCAACATATTACAGCGTCATTCTCAACCATTTCATCAAATAGAGTTTCTCTCAAAATCAATCATAAAACAACAATGGAAAAAAGGTAAAAAGATAATTGTCAAGTGAGGTAAGTGTAATTTGCCCATACAATTTTATTTTCTTTCTTTTGAGATTGTTTTCTTTGGCTTGGTTTGTGTCCTTGGAGTTAAAGAAGGAAAGGAGGATTGGTAGGTGATCATTGTCAACTGCCATGGTTGATAAGGTTGGTCTAATTTCTTTATTTCTCAAATTATTTAGCTATTTGTAATATTTTTCTAGCCTCATGGTCAAATGAGTTGGTAAGTTTGAATATAAACTAATAATTAGATTCATTTCCACACGTGTTTTAACGTGTATTGTTAGAATTTGGAAATATATCTAACATTCCACCAATAATGTATTCAATTTATGGAGTACATACATTTCGTTGTCGGATTATTTTTTATGAGATTAGATATAATAGAATTTTGATAGCATTGTGAGAGGTGTGTTATTTAGATGGGATGAATGATAGGATTGTGAACGATAAGTTATATTAAGAAATTAATAGATGGATAAATAATTGGATGTAGGGAGGGAGGTATTATATTTGGTTAGGATGAGATAAAAAAAAGTTTAATATCCCCGGTGCCACAATACCTATGGATATGGTATTACAAAGTTTAACAAATGCGGGATTCAAATAGGTGTGAGATCTGCATATTTCCCTGCTTCCAATCGTCCTCCTTATCTTGTAATCAAACGCGAGATTAAAATAGGTGTAAGAGCCACATGTTCTCCACCTCCCATATCCCATTTTCTTTTGCAAAGAAACGTGCACACATTGTTACCCAATACCCTGCCATTGTTTGTCATTTTGTTGAATAATTTCATTTGTATTAATCAATGTGATGGGAAAAAAATACAGAAACGGTTCATGTATGCTTATGATCTGATGTTGATTAGTATCTTCTAAGAAACTCCAATATTTAGTTGTACAGTCAAAGTGTCAGGTTAAAAAATTGGAAATAAAGGAACTGTTGAAATGGGAAAGCACATAACAAACTATTTTAGTAACATCTCAACTGCTTTGTCAAATTTCTCTAGCAGTGATGTGTCACAATCTTATTCTATCGCTGATTTCCAAGTTTGAATATTATCTACCTCATTGACCCATATATACTTATTTTTCTTATAGAAATAGCAGTATACAACTTCTATTGACTTTGTTTGCCATTTCCAAAAGAGTGAAGAACATTGTAAATTAGGTGAGGAAAAAGAATACAGATGATAGCATCATCATAATTTTTGCAAAATGATCGGGGGAATCATTCTTTTTGCTATTTCATATTACTTTTCTGGTTTTGTTTTAGCAGATGACATGCTAAATCAATACCAGCAAATCAATGACAGTGGAGCATTAGTATCTGCTAGAGGAGATTTCAAGTTAGGCTTCTTCAGTACAAGCAATTCGAGGAGGCGATACTTGGGGATATGGTATAACAATATCCCAGTTCAAACCATTGTTTGGGTGGCGAACAGAGACAGACCTCTTAATGATTCATCAGGAGGTCTAAAGATTGGGGATGATGGAAATTTGATCCTTCTTGACAGTGGAGGAATAGTTGCTTGGTCTACCGGTATCCAGAATATATCATCAAAACCTACTGTTGCACAACTCTTAGACTCTGGAAATATTGTTTTGAGAAGTGAAAATGGTGGGAACACAGAAAGTTATATTTGGCAAAGCTTTGATCATCCTTCAGATACACTGATAGCTAGTATGAAGCTGGGATGGGACTTGAGAGTTGGTTTGGACCAGTATTTGACATTGTGGAAGAGCGCAGATGATCCTTCACTCGGAGATTTCTCTTATGTGCTCGATCTTGATGGTCTTCCACAAACTGTTATACGTAAAGGGTCCGTTAAGCAGCACCGAAGTGGGATATGGAATGGTCTGCAGTTTAATGGAGCCGGGCTTAAAAGCGCAATCCTCAATGCTAATTTCATGGATAATTCAGAGGAGGTGTATTTCGAGTTTGATCTATATCAGCAGATAACAAGGCTATTTTTGAATTACACCGGGACAATGCAAAGTGTGATATGGAACAATAGGAACCTTGAGTGGGTTGTCATTAACACAGTACCTAGTAATCCATGCGACAGATATGGCCAGTGCGGTCCTAATTCTATTTGCACAATCTCTAATGCATTCATATGTAGTTGTTTGGATGGATACATTCCTAAATCATCACAAGATTGGAATATGATGGTTTGGAATGGTGGGTGCGTTCGCAAATACCCATTAAACTGCTCGGATGGAGAAGGATTTGTGGCATTCGAAGGCGTGATCGTCCCTGATTTGTTAGATTTTTGGATGAACACCAGTATGACAGTTAAAGAATGTGAATTGGAGTGTCTAAAGAATTGTTCTTGTACTGCTTATGCTAACTCCGATACTGCTGGAGGGGGAAGTGGATGCTTGCTCTGGTATGGGGATCTGATTGATATTAGAAGCTTCGCAAATCCTGGTGGTCAAACTCTGTATATTCGGGTTACAGCTGCAGACCTAGGTAACTTTCTTGTGATTTGTGTTCAATAATTCATTAGGTTACAAAATTTGGCCAAACACATAAACTACACTGATTTTTTTATTTTATTTTTTATTTTTAAGTATAATTTTCACTGGATGGTGTTTCTAGTGTCTAGATCAGATTCCAAGGAGAAGAAGAGGATCGTGTTGGTGATTATCCCCATCTCAGTAGCTTTGTTGTTGTTCCTCCTTGTTTCTTGTATAATATGGAAGAGGATAAAACAAACAAGAGGTAAATCTGAGGTTCCTTTGGTTGAGAGTTAACTTTATGCGGAATATATAGTAACTAAAGATCTCTTAGTCAATGTTAATTAAATGAATAGAACTATAAAGAAATAGAATGGAAAGCAACAACAAATGAAAGAATAAGAAGTTATATCTTCTATTATTATCTTAATAGTGAATACTGAAAATGTTACATAATAAAGAGTTGATATCTATCTTGTTCTTAGTGAATCTTGTAGTATTACATGATCTTATAATAATACGTACATAAGTCCACATATTGCACACCAAAAAAGCCCAGCCTTTTTGGTTTTGGTGGAGACTTTAAGGCTGATTTGGGTGGAACACCTAATTGTATAATTTTTCATTCTTAATTGTTTAAACAACAGAAATTTAAAGAAATTTCCCTAGTTTCAATGAACTTTGGCAAATTTTTCTGAATTAGAAATGTGGCGAACCATGAGTCTACCAACAAGTTAATTGGAATGACCTGCTTGTTTCGTTACAGTTTCTTATTCAGAGTTTATTCTTTTGTTGACATGATGGTTGCTCTCATTGGCCTCTGTCAAAGACAACATTTATGAAAGAAATAAGAGAGTGATATTGAGAGAGTAAGAAAACTCTTGTATTCAATATATCTGAAAGTGTAAAAAGAGACTCCATATATAGGAGCTGCTTTATACAACATCATTATGAAAGCAAAACATATAATAATAGAAAGCAGCCGAAAGCGAAGGCAACCGAATATATAATAAGAATCATATGCTCCTATGCTCTGTCATCCTATAGCTATTAATATATGATACATTAATATAATATATACATTATTATAATATGATACATTAACAGCCCCCCTCAAACTCTAGGAGGACAAACATCAACCAACTGGAGTTTGGAGACAAGTTCAACGAAGCGGCCAGGAGAATGAGCTTTGGTGAAGATATCAGCAGGTTGATCAACAGAAGAGATCGGATGGAGATGGACAGTACCACGAGTGACGTGTTGACGAATAAAATGGCAGTCAATCTCAATGTGCTTGGTGCGATCATGAAAAACATCATTGTGAGCAATTTGAAGAGCACTGTGATTGTCACAAAAGAGGTCAGTAGCACCAGAGGGGGTAACACCCATGTCAGCAAGAAGCCAACGAAGCCAGAGAAGTTCTTGAGTAGTATCAGCAAGAGCACGGTATTCGGCCTCGGTACTGGAACGAGCAGTAAGAGATTGTTTCTTGCTGCGCCAAGAAATAAGAGAATCACCCAGAAAAAAGCAGAACCCAGTAGTAGAGCGCCGGTTAGTAGGATCGCCAGCCCAATCAGCATCGGAGAAAGCACGAAGCTGGAGAGATGAGCGGGCGGAATAATGAAGACCATGAAACAGGGTGCCTTTGAGATACCGAAGGATACGAACCAAGGCAGCATAATGAGGGATACGAGGAGCCGACATAAACTGGCTGACAATATGAACGGCATAGGCAATATCAGGACGAGTAACTGTGAGATAGACAAGACTGCCAACCAGCTGACGATATAGTGTAGCATCAGAGAGAAGAGTGCCATCAAGAGGTGTAAGACGACTCTGAGGTTCCAGGGGAGTAGAGGCAGTCTTGCAATCCGTAAGACCAGCACGTGTGAGAAGATCAGAGGTATACTTAGCCTGAGAGAGAAAAGAACCCGTAGAATCATGGAAGATTTCAAGACCCAAGAAATAGCTGAGAGAACCAAGGTCTTTCATCTCGAAATGATGGCTAAGAAACTGTTTAAGACGAAGAATACCATCGATATCATCACCGGTGATAATCATGTCATCCACATAAAGTAAAAGTAGGGTGGTCCCTTGAGCTGTTTTTCGGATAAAAAGAGCAGTATCATAAGAGCTGGAGGTGAAACCATATTTCTGAATAGTGGAGCTGAACTTGGCAAACCAAGCGCGTGGAGCTTGTTTGAGACCATATAAAGCACGCTGAAGTTTGCAGACTTGATGCGGGAGATAAGCAAACCCAGTGGGAGGTTGCATGTAGACCTCCTCGAGAAGAACACCATTAAGAAAAGCATTTTTCACGTCCAGTTGATAAAGATCCCATTGTCGAGTGGTAGCAACAGCAATCAAGCTGCGAACAGATGTGAGACGAGCAACAGGAGCAAAGGTCTCCTCATAATCAATACTATATTCTTGATTGAAGCCTTTTGCAACAAGGCGGGCTTTGTAGCGCTCAATAGATCCATCAGAACAAGTCTTGACTTTGTATACCCATTTGCAGCCAATGGCAGTCTTGCCAAGAGGAAGATCAACAATGTCCCAAGTATGAGTTTTGTCTAAAGCCTGCAATTCATCAGTCATAGCTTGCTGCCAAAGAGGATTAGAGCGAGCCTCTCGATAGGAGGTCGGTTCATAAGTAGAAAAAGCAGTAGAACCAACAATAAAGTCACGAAGACGAGTAGAAGGTTGGGTTACCCGATGTGGTCGAGCAGAGGGAGGAGGAGCCAGAGGAAGAGACTCAGCAAGAGGGGAGGATCCCGATAGAGCAAGAGCAGGACCATCAGAGGGAGCAGGTGCATGGGACAAACCGGTAGGCAAGGCGATCCCGAGAGAGGTTGGCAGGGGCGGTGGAGTAAACGGATCAGAAAACTCGAGAGAGGCTGGCAAGGGTGGGGGAGTAAGGTCATCAGAAAATAGATCTGTGGAAGGGTCAGTAAAAAAAAGAGAAGGTGAGGGAACGGACAAACGGAAGGGAGAGAGAGAGGAAAACATTTTGTGTTCCCAAAAGACCACATGACGAGAGATACGAAGTCGTTGGGAGAGAGGATCCCAACAACGATACCCCTTATGTTCAATACCATACCCCAAGAAGCAACAAAGGCGGGAACGAGGTTCAAGTTTGGTATGTTCATGAGGTTGGAGAATAACAAAACAGGCAGAGCCAAAGACTCTAAGGTTGGTGTAGGGGGGATGGGTGCCATGCAGACGCTCATAAGGAGTGTGATTATGAATGACAGGTGTAGGGATACAATTGATAGTGTAAGCAGCAGTGAGAGCAACTTCACCCCAAAAAATTTTCGGACAAGAGAAAGAGAGAAGGAAAGCTCGAGTAATGTCGAGAATATACCGATGTTTTCGTTCAGTACGTCCATTTTGTTGAGACGTGCCTGGACAAAAACGATGAGGTTGAGTACCATGACTCTGAAAAGAAAGAAAATCAAAATCTTTATATTCCATGGCATTGTCGGAGCGAAAAATCTTAATAGTTTTAGAAAATTGGGTCTGTACCATTGTAGCAAAATTGTAATAAATTTGTTTGAGTTTAGAGCGATTTTTCATAAGAAACAACCATGTAAAACGAGAAAAATCATCTACAAAAACAACAAAATAGCGGGCGCCGCCCATAGTGGGAGTAGGAGAGGGTCCCCAAATATCAGAATGGATGAGATCAAAAGGTGCAAGAGAAACAGAGTCACTTTTATTAAACGACAAAGCAGGTTGTTTAGCAAGTTGACAGGACACACAATCTAAAGCATCAGAACTTACAGGACCTAAATGACCACTAGAAATTAAAGTTTTTAAACGACCAGCAGAAAGATGGCCTAAACGACAGTGCCAAAGCTGAAAAGGAGATAAAGGAGGAGCAGTGGTAGCAGTGGTAGGAGCTGTGATCTGAGAGGAATCCGGAACATGAAGATGGATAAGTTCGTAGAGACGTCCATGCTTACGGCCGATCCCAAGAGTTTGCCCCGTCCGAGGGTCCTGCACCAAACAACCAGAAGGGGAAAAGGTAATAGTTAGACCATGCTCACATAATTGACTAATGGATATAAGATTTAAAGTGAGAGCAGGCATAAGATAGACATGAGATAAAGATAAGTGAGAGGTGGAAACAGAACCAACATGACTTACAGATAGAAGAGACCCATCAACAGTATGGATATAAGGAACAGGAGAAGTAGAAGAGAGAGGAGTAAAAATAGTAGGGTCAAAGGTCATGTGATTACAACAAGCGGAGTCAAAGTACCAGGAAGTGTTACCTGCGGTGACAGACAAAGCAGGAGATGGAGGAGTACCGAAATTCTGCCAATTGTGAAACATGGCGTCGACATCTGTGTGAGAGAAGACTGGAGTGGAAGGATCTATAGGGACAGAGGCAGGTAAATCCTCGGAGGCAGTAGCAGCAGTGCGTGGAGCAGGCATTGGTTTAGACGGAGGCCCAGAACGGTGAGAGTTGTTGCGGGAAAAATGCCCGGGGGAGGGACCATTGCGAGAGGCACGGGCAGGGTTGCGGAAGCAATCGTGCTGGAGATGACCAGGACCAGTCTTGTTGCAAAACCGACAAAGACGAACTAGACAATTAACCAGAAGATGAGTCGACGGAAGACTGCGATTTTGACAGTAGTTGCAGATAGTTGTCTTCTGTGGGGAAGATGGTGAAGGAGAACTTCGAATCTGGGGAGTAGCAAGAACAGAGTCCACAGGGTGTGGATGGAGAGTACCAAACATGGTTTCCTCTGACAGTAGTTTAGAAATTGCTTGCTCAAGAGTGGGTAAAGGAGTGCGATGAAGGAGAGATGCGCGGACTGGCTCAAAACGAGGAGTGAGAGCCATGAGAAACTGAACCAAGCGTTGTTGGCCACGGTAAGTAGTAAACAAGGCAGCATCCTTAGTACAATCCCATGGAGGTTCAGAGAGAGCGAGCTGATCCCAAACATACATTTGGGAGAGGAAATCATTAATGGTTTGAGTTGTGTCTTGGCACATACGGTGAAGATGACTCAGAAGCTGATATTGGTGAGCAAGGCTAGTAGTCTGATAGCGTTCTTGTAAAAAATCCCAGATGGCTTTGGCTGGAGAGGAAGCAGAGTCAAGTTGGAACCGACCAAACTGAAGACTGATAGAAGTAATAGAAGTATTACGAAGCCAAGTGATGATCTGATAGTTTTTGCTATCCCAATCCTCCAGACGGTCAACATATTTGGCAGCGGAGTTCGTGGTGGCAGCGGATTCTGTGGTGGCTGGGATGGGTTTGCACACATCCCCAGTGATGATGCGCCAAAGTTTCTTTCCTTTGAGGAACCCAGACATAGCTTGTGCCCATAAGACATAGTTAGTTCCGTCAAGAACAATGGAAATAGGGTGGTTAGAGGAGTCCAGGCGATCCATGAGGAAAAACCAGTACTATCGAAGCCGAATCTTAAAAATCCGAGGTTACCAGTGAATTCAGAGGGTCGAAATCAGTGGGAAAGGAGTGAACGGACCAAAAAAAAGATGACCAGAAGGCACTAAATTGGCTTGTCAAAGTTGGTCAACAATTCTGGTCAAAGATGACGTCACTGCTGCAGATGGTGATGTCACAGGCGCGACGCACGTTAGCATAGACAGGCGTGGCGTACGATAGCAGAGGAAACAAGCGGCGCACGGAAGCAGCCAGGGCTGACGTCAGCTGACGTCAAAAACACGCGGCTCACGTTCGCAGATGAGGCCGCGGCGCAAGATAGCACGGGACAAGTGTTGAGGCGCGTAAAGTGCGTCTGAGAACGAGGAAGTGCGTGGATGAAAGTTCTGGCGGCGCGTGGCGGCACGTGGAACGTCGAATGAGGATGAATCTGGTGGCGTTGGATTCATCGTGAGGAGACGAAGGTTCTGGTGTGGTCCAATCTGTAATTTAGATAAGGACGAGATATGCAACAATCTGCTCAAAATAAAAATCTGATGCAGCAGAGGAAGAGACTAGGCAATACACCTGTGCTCTGATACCATGAAAGAAATAAGAGAGTGATATTGAGAGAGTAAGAAAACTCTTGTATTCAATATATCTGAAAGTGTAAGAAGAGACTCCATATATAGGAGCTGCTTTATACAACATCATTATGAAAGCAAAACATATAATAATAGAAAGCAGCCGAAAGCGAAGGCAACCGAATATATAATAAGAATCCTATGCTCCTATGCTCTGTCATCCTATAGCTATTAATATATGATACATTAATATAATATATACATTATTATAATATGATACAGTAACAATTTAAATGACTTGCATTATCAAAATCCTAATATTTCATTGGTTCTTTATGATAAGATAGTTTGACAATATTGTTGGGTCTATTTTCTTGCATCTTAAGTTTCGGGATAGTTTTTTTTTTTTAATCAGCAAAAGAAAGAGCCTTCATTGATGAAATCAAAACATACAATGCATATGAAAATACATCAACAAAGGGGAAGGCAAGAGCAAAAAGCATCAAAGTGTATTTCCCAAGTCCCAATTAGTTTGGCACCGTGAAGAACACTCAATCATCTGCTAGCTCAAGCCAACACGTTGGTGAGAGAACAACAGCAAAAGGAAGCGGGGATAGATCAAAAAAACCAAGCAGACTATGAGGATAGAAACAGCAGCAACCCAGGATAGAAATAGCAGTAACCAAACTGAGCTAGCAGATCAACAGCCAAACTGAGCTAGCAAAACACAAGACACATCAGCAACCGAAGAGATCAACACAATCACATCTCCTCTGTTTCAGCTTCCAATTTGTTCAGATACATTTTCTCACCTGTTGTATGTTTGACATAATCATATCTATGGAGTAGAAGCAACCTATGTCCTGTGCTTTCATCCATAAGGCCACCCTAACTTTGATAAGCTCAGATAGCTCCTCAATGCTCAGTTGTGTGCCATTGAAAACACAATAATTTCTGAACTTCCACAAGGACCAAATTATTGATATAAGAACAGCTCTCCAAACTTGCCTTTTCTTCTTTTTGAACCTCCACCGCAGCCGTCACTGTATCAGACTTTCCAATGATCCTGCTATGACCCACTTAATACCCCACAAATCCATAATATTTGACCAAACTTGCCACACAAATGGGCAGTACAATAAAACATGAGTCAATGTTTCCACTTTAGCTTTGCATAGTACACAGGATAGATCCACATTACCCCTCAACACCCCTATTCTACTTAGGAATGAAGATGAGATCTGTTTACAATTGAAGTTTTGGGATAATTGGTGATCTGGCTTAGTATTAGTGCTCTAGTTCTGGGGAAGGCTTTGAGTTTGTTGTTTATTTGACCCTAGATGTGCAAGACAAGGTTTGTTTGAACTTGGTTAGTTGTGTGTTTCCCTAAAGATAGCAAGACAGAGTCAGGGCTGCACTTAAGAAATGGTATTAAAATGAGCTGGACATACATTGTTGATGAATGTTGTTACGATAGCTACCTATATATTGTTGCACCAATTTTCTAATAGCTTAAGCTTTTCTGACAATGGATAATCTAGCGCTGTACTTTGAACAGAAAAATAACAAGGATTTGTGCATATTCCTTTACTAACTTCTTTATCTAGATTGATATGCAGGGAGCAATTAAAAAGTGAATGTTTTTGTAATGTCCCTTTTTCCACCCTCCCGATTTTGTGTAATAAAGGTGATTTACCATGTCTTTTGTTTTTCTTCTATACTTTAAATACAAAATTCCCCTGTAAAACTTCTGCATCAAGGTCCTGTTGAATTCGATGCCATTGTGGACACAAATATAACCATGTTTCAAGTTTGTTTCCTGATCTTCTCATCTGTTGTCATCGACAGGTTCACGGCCAAACATTCCATTCAAAGATGATGAAAACATAGAATTGCCCATTTTCAATATAGTCACAATTGCAAATGCTACAAACAATTTTTCTATTTCTAACAAGATTGGAGAAGGTGGGTTCGGACCAGTTTACAAGGTAATTTGAATTGCACTTACTAAAGTCATGTAATTTTCTGTGTTGCATGTTTGTGAGTGTGCGCCAAAAGAGTGTAAATTCAAATCTTTGTCATGAGCGTTAAAAAAAATCTAGTTTTTCTTGATTGTTTCATTGCTCTTCTATGTAGTGTCGATTTGCCTTAGGTGGCCCCATATCGTCTCGGTGGCTTTCACCTTAGACGTTTTGTTTGGCGAATTCCTGTGTATGATGTTTTTATCTTCAACCTTTATTTACTTTCTTACTTCCCAAAAACAAAAAAACAAAAAAAAAGCTTGTGTATTTTCATAGGGTCAGCTATCAACTGGACAAGTGATAGCAGTAAAGCGGCTCTCGGAGAATTCTAAACAAGGGCTTGGTGAATTTAAAAATGAGGTTATCTTGATTGCCAAGCTTCAGCACCGAAATCTTGTTAGGCTTTTGGGATGTTGCATTCAAGGAGAAGAGAGGCTGTTGATCTATGAGTATTTGCCCAACGGCAGCTTGAGCTCTTTTATTTTTGGTTTGATCTTTCGACCTTTCTTCTAACTTCTTCAATTGAATGTCGAAAACAAACTACACACTACTCGAAGTTGTATATAATTATGTCAATTATTGAACCCAAAACTAATATTCTATACAAATGCCTCTCTTGATCTATGTTCTAGATACTACAAAAAGTAACTCTCTTGAATGGAGGAAACGCTTTGATATTATTGTGGGGATTGCTCGAGGGCTTCTCTACCTTCATCGAGATTCAAGATTGAGAATTATTCACAGGGTTCTCAAAGCTAGCAATGTGCTACTAGACAATGAGATGAATCCCAAAATTTCAGACTTTGGCATTGCTAGAGCTTTTGGAGGAGATCAAATATCGGAGAAAACAAGAAGGGTGATTGGAACTTAGTAAGTACCCAAAAGGTTTCTTGCATATACTTACCTAACTTCAAGTTTCACCGACTTCTTTCTTGATTTATTAATTTGATTATGGCGTGCAGTGGTTATATGTCCCCAGAATATATATTACGTGGGCTTTTTTCAATGAAATCAGATGTGTTTAGTTTCAGAGTACTTGTTTTAGAAATAGTGAGCGGACAGAGGAACAGAAAGTTCCGACATCCTAACCATACTCACAACCTTCTTGGACATGTAAGTTTTTACTTGAGTTTGATCTCTTCATTTTTGGAATTTTCTTTCATATTGATCTCTAATATAAATGTGCTCTATTAGGCATGGAAACTATGGCTTGAAGGGAATGCCATCAAGCTAGTTGAAGAAAAGTTGGAAACTTCAACAATGTTGATGTTAGAAGTAATAAAATGTATACAAATTGGTCTGTTGTGTGTGCAACAACGCCCTGAAGACAGGCCAACAATGTCATCTGTGGTGTCGATGTTGGATAATGAGGGTGCAATGTTGCCCCATCCTAAACAACCCGGATTCTATACAGAGGGGAGCAGTAACGAGACAGAACTTGCATTGACTACAGGAATAAAATGTTCCACAAATAAGGCAACTCTAACAATTCTACTAGGTCGATAAGAAATTCCAATTGAAGCACTAATGCCCATGGTTATTATTATTATTTTTTTTTAGTAAAAGAGTTAATACCATTTTTGATAACAGCCTTACTAATTATGGATGATAGATGATATATAAGTTTCCTTGTTTGATAGCAAACGAGATAGAATGAATGACTAATTTTTATTGGCCAAAGACTCTCTAATGCTCAAAGTTAGTAAACTGGTGTGATTTATGCAATCGAGGTGAGAGTTGTTGCATACTTCCTTTGGAGTTAGGTGGGATGGATTTTGGATTGTGATCCATTATTCTTGTTGTGATGTTATTGTCAATTAATTTTATTTGGTTTTGAGGGTATCCTTGTAAAAAAATGTGTAATAATTTCTTAGAAAAATCTTAAATCAAGTCTTCAATGTATACAATACATTTCTATTATGTTTATCAAACTTGAACTAAAAACATTCACACATATAATTTTTTGAACTTTAAAATTTCTTTTTGCTATTGCTTGAGATAACAGGTTTCATCATAGGTCCAATCATTGATTTTCTTTTCAAAGACACATTAAGGTAGTTAAAAGAATTTAATGATATTTTAGTACAGTTATTCTGTATCACAATGACACAACCACTTGGTACTGCACGGCTTGGTAGAAGAGGTAGAACTCATGATTTTTTGTTGGGCGATAAGTGACGGTAAAAAGCATAATGATTTGTGATTAATTTTATAATGTGTCATATGTTGTTGTCCCAGATATACTAAACAATTTTTAATATTTTATAGACCTCTCCACTCACAATTACAAAAAATACAATGATTGATATAAATAAAAAAATATATATATTATTTCAAATTTTGCTAAAAGCTTAATTATAGTACACTAACAATCATATGTTAATCAGTATTAGATAAATAGAAAATAATTATAGTAATGTCATCAAATTTTAAATAAAATTATAAATTTATCCTTACAAACCAGCTCATCAACTGCCAAAACCATGATGAATCCTTAAATCAGAGACCTTGAAACAACCTACCTCGAGACTCCCAGGCAGCCAGCATTAGCACCTTTACCCAAGCAGCAGCGGCACCGCAAAAACAAGCAAAACCATGAACCACTCTACACCTTCCTGAGCCTCCCAAGCTATACTTGTTCAGCAAAAATGTGCATAGAGCGTCAAACCCAAGCCAACACAAACCAGACCCAGAAAAACATTACCCCAAGAACAGAGTAAAAAACAGAACAGAAGAGAACACAACAAACAGAAGAAAGCAAACCTAGCCGAGCAAACAAGCTAACAAAAGCACCCAAAGAAAACCTAGGACATACACCATAGAAAGATAACAGGACCCAAAGAACAGAATGGAAAGCAAGAATGGACCAGGAACAGAAGAGGAGAAGCTGAGAAAAGAAACCAACAACACAAACAAGGCCGTTAAACCTCCACACCCAAAATCCTACTTTGAAGGCAAAACCTGGTGCAGTGAAAATGGAATACAAAGTCGTTAACTGAGAACTCAATTGAATTTCGCTTTGGCTTTTGTTAATATTAAATGTATTATATCATAATTAACATGTATATATTATACTAATGTAATGCATATATTAAATATACATAGTTATAGGATGCCAGAGCAGCCTCACTTTCGGCTGCTTGCTTTCGGCTACTTTAGTTTATTTTATGCTCCACTTAGTTTATTTTATGCTCCACTTTCATCATAATGTTGTATCACACAACTCCTATAAATGGAGTCCCCTCTTACTCCTTCAGATATAGAATACAAGAATTTCTCTTACTCTCTTAATATCACTCTCTTATTTCTTACATGGTATCAGAGCACAGGTGTATTGCCTAGTCTCTTCTGCATCGCATTTTTTAGCAGATTGTTGCATATTTCGTCCTTATCTGAATTACAGATTGGACCACACCAGAACCTTCGTCTCCTCACGACGAATCCAACGCCACCAGATTCATCATCATCCGACGCTCCACGCGCCGCCAGAACTTTCATCCACGCGCCTCCTCGCCTCTCAGACGCGCTCTACGCGCCTCACACTTGCCCTGTGCTATCGTGCGCCACGGCCTCATCTGCTAACGTGAGCCGCGTGTTTTTGACGTCAGCTGACGTCAGCCCTAGCTGCTTCCGTGCGCCGCTTGCTTCCTCTGCTATCGTGCGCCACGCCTGTCTGTGCTAACGTGCGCCGCGCCTGTGACACAGCAGTGACGTCATCTTGACCAGATTGTGACGTCATCTTTGACCAAAATTGTTGACCAACTTTGACCAGCCAATTTAGTGCGTTCTGGTCATCTTTTTTTTGGTCCGTTCACTCATTTCCCACTAATTTCGACCCTCTGAATTCACTGGTAACCTCAGATTTTTCAAATTCGGCTTCGATAGTACTGCTTTTTCCTCATGGATTGCTTAGACTCCTCCAACCACCCTATTTCCATTGTTCTTGACGGAACTAACTATGTCTTATGGGCACAAGCTATGTCTGGGTTCCTCAAAGGAAAGAAACTTTGGCGCATCATCACTAGGGATGTGTGCAAACCCATCCCAGCCACCACAGAATCCGCTGCCACCACGGACTCCGTTGCAAAATATGTTGACCGTCTGGAGGATTGGGATAGCAAAAACTATCAAATCATCACTTGGCTCCGTAATACTTCTATTACTTCTATCAGCCTTCAGTTTGGTCGGTTCTAACTTGACTCTGCTTCCTCTCCAGCCAAAGCCATCTGGGATTTTTTACAAGAACGCTACCAGACTACTGGCCTTGCTCACCAATATCAGCTTCTGAGTCAACTTCACCGTATGTGCCAAGACACATCTCAAACCATTAATGATTTCCTCTCCCAAATGTATTATGTTTGGGATCAGCTCGCTCTCTCTGAACCTCCCTGGGATTGTACTAAGGATGCTGCCTTGTTCACTACTTACCGTGACCAACAACGCTTGGTTCAGTTTCTCATGGCTCTCACTCCCCGTTTTGAGCCAGTCCGCGCATCTCTCCTTCATCGCACTCCTTTACCCACTCTTGAGCAAGCAATTTCTGAACTACTGTCAAAGGAAACCCGGATTGGTACTCTCCACCCTGTGGACTCTGTTCTTGCTACTCCCCAGATTCGAAGTTCTCCTTCACCATCTTCCCCACAGAAGACACCTATCTGCAACTACTGTCACAACCACAGTCTTCCATCGACTCATCTTCTGGTTAATTGTCCAGTTCGTCTTTGTCGGTTTTGCAACAAGACTGGTCCTGGTCATCTCCAGCATGATTGCTTCCGCAACCTTGCCCGTGCCTCTCGCAATGGTCCCTCCCCCGGGCATTTTTCCCGCAACAACTCTCACCGTTCTGGGCCTCCGTCTAAACCAATGCCTGCTCCACGCACTGCTGCTGCTGCCTCCGAGGATTTCCCTGCCTCTGTCCTTATAGATCCTTCCACTCCAGTCTTCTCTCACACAGATGTCGAAGCCACGTTTCACAATTTGCAGAATTTCGGTACTCCTCCATCTCCTGCTTTGTCTGTCACCGCATGTAACACTTCCTGGTACTTTGACTCCGCTTGTTGTAATCACATGACCTTTGACCCTACTATTTTTACTCCTCTCTCTTCTACTTCTCCTGTTCCTTCTATCCATACTGCTGATGGGTCTCTTCTATCTGTAAGTCATGTTGGTTCTGTTTCCACCTCTCACTTATCTTTATCTCATGTCTATCTTATGCCTGCTCTCACCTTAAATCTTATATCCATTAGTCAATTATGCGAGCATGGCCTAACTATTACCTTTTCCCCTTCTGGTTGTTTGGTGCAGGACCCTCGGACGGGGAAAACTCTTGGGATCGGCCGTAAGCAAGGACGTCTCTACGAACTTATCCATCTTCATGTTCCAGATTCCTCTCAGATCACAGCTCCTACCACTACCACCACTGCTCCTCATTTATCTCCTTTTCAACTTTGGCACTGTCGTTTAGGCCATCTTTCTGTTAGTCATTTAAAATCTTTAATTTCTCGTGGTCATTTAGGTCCTGTAAGTTCTGATGCTTTAGATTGTGTGTCCTGTCAACTTGCCAAACAACCTGCTTTGTCGTTTAATAAAAGTGACTCTGTTTCTCTTGCACCATTTGATCTCATCCATTCTGATATTTGGGGACCCTCTCCTACTCCCACTATGGGCGGCGCCCGCTATTTTGTTGTTTTTGTAGATGATTTTTCTCGTTTTACATGGTTATTTCTTATGAAAAATCGATCTGAACTCAAACAACTTTATTACAATTTTGCTGCAATGGTTAAAACACAATTTTCTAAAACTATTAAACTTTTTCGTTCCGACAATGCCATGGAATATAAAGATTTTGACTTTCTTTCTTTTCTTCAGAGTCATGGTACTCAACCTCATCGATCCTGTCCCGGCACGTCTCAACAAAATGGACGTGCTGAACGGAAACATCGGCATATTCTCGACACTACTCGCGCTCTTCTTTTGTCTTCCTCTTGTCCGGAACATTTTTGGGGAGAGGCAGCTCTCACTGCTGCTTACACTATCAATTGTATCCCTACACCTGTCATTCATAATCACACTCCTTATGAGTGAAGCTGCTCTCACTGCTGCTTACACTATCAATTGTATCCCTACACCGGTCATTCATAATCACACTCCATATGAGCGTTTACATGGCACCCGTCCCCCTTACGACACCCTTAGGGTTTTTGGCTCTGCCTGTTTTGTTCTTCTCCAACCTCATGAACGTACCAAACTTGAACCTCGTTCTCGCCTTTGTTGCTTCTTGGGGTATGGTATTGAACATAAAGGGTATCGCTGTTGGGATCCTCTCTCCCAGCGTCTCCGTATCTCTCGTCATGTGGTCTTTTGGGAACACACAATGTTTTCCTCCCTCTCTCAATTCCGTTTATCCGTTCCTTCACCCTCTCTGTGTTTTACTAACCCTTCTGCAGATCTGTTTTCTGATGAGCTTCCTCCACTGCCCATGCCTGACTCTCTTGAGACTGCCTTGCCTACTGGTCTTTCTCAAGCACCTGCCAGCTCTGATGGTCCTGCTCTTGCTCCCTCGGACTCCTCACCCCCTGTTGAGTCTCTTCCTCTGGCTCCTCCTCCTCCTGCTCGACCACACCGGGTAATCCAACCTTCTACTCGTCTTCGTGACTTTATTGTTGGTTCTACTGCTTTTTCTACTTATGAACCCACCTCCTATCGGGAGGCTCGCTCTAATCCTCTTTGGCAGCAAGCTATGACTGATGAATTACAGGCTTTGGACAAAACTCACACTTGGGACATTGTTGATCTTCCTCCTGGCAAGACTGCCATTGGCTGTAAATGGGTATACAAAATCAAAACCTGTTCTGATGGATCTATTGAGCGCTATAAAGCTCGCCTTGTTGCTAAAGGCTTCAATCAAGAATATGGTATTGACTATGAGGAGACCTTTGCTCCTGTTGCTCGTCTCACCTCTGTTCGCAGCCTCATTGCAGTTGCTACTACCCGACACTGGGATCTTTATCAAATGGATGTGAAAAATGCCTTTCTTAATGGTGTTCTTCTTGAGGAGGTCTACATGCAACCTCCCCTTGGGTCTACTTATCCACCTCATAAAGTCTGCAAACTTCAACGTGCTTTATATGGTCTCAAACAAGCTCCCCGCGCTTGGTTTGCCAAGTTCAGCTCTACTATTCATGACTGTGGTTTCACCTCCAGCTCTTATGATACTGCACTTTTTATCCGCAAAACTGCTCAAGGGACCACTTTGCTTCTTCTTTATGTGGATGATATGATTATCACCGGTGATGATGTTAATGGTATTCTTCATCTTAAACAATTTCTTAGCCATCATTTCGAGATGAAAGACCTTGGTCCTCTCAGCTATTTCTTGGGTCTTGAAATCTTCCATGATTCCACGGGTTCTTTTCTCTCTCAGGCTAAGTACACATCTGATCTTCTCACCCGTGCTGGTCTTACCGATTGCAAGACTGCCTCAACTCCCCTGGAGCCTCAGAGTCGTCTTACCCCTCTTGATGGCACTCTTCTCTCTGATGCTACTCTATATCGTCAGCTGGTTGGCAGTCTTGTCTATCTCACTGTTACTCGTCCTGATATTGCCTATGTCGTCCATATTGTCAGCCAGTTTATGTCGGCTCCTCGTACCACACATTATGCTGCCTTAATTCGTATCATTCGCTATCTCAAAGGCACCATGTTTCATGGTCTTCATTATTCCGCCCGCTCCTCTCTCCAGCTTCGTGCTTTCTCTGATGCTGATTGGGCTGGCGATCCTACTGACCGCCGCTCTACTACTGGGTTTTGCTTTTTTCTGGGTGATTCTCTTATTTCTTGGCGCAGTAAGAAACAATCTCTTACTGCTCGTTCTAGTACCGAAGCCGAATACCGTGCCCTTGCTGATACTACTCAGGAGCTTCTCTGGCTTCGTTGGCTTCTTGCTGACATGGGTGTTTCTCCCTCTGGTGCTACTGCCCTCTTTTGTGACAATCACAGTGCTCTTCAAATTGCTCACAATGATGTTTTTCATGATCGCACCAAGCACATTGAGATTGACTGCCATTTTATTCGGCAACACGTTACTCATGGTACTGTCCATCTCCATCCGATCTCTTCTGTTGATCAACCTGCTGATATCTTCACCAAAGCTCATTCTCCTGGCCGCTTCGTTGACCTTGTCTCCAAACTCCAGTTGGTTGATGTTTGTCCTCCTTGAGTTTGAGGGGGGCTGTTAATATTAAATGTATTATGTCATAATTAACATGTATATATTATACTAATGTAATGCATATATTAAATATACATAGTTATAGGATGCCAGAGCAGCCTCACTTTCGGCTGCTTGCTTTCGGCTACTTTAGTTTATTTTATGCTCCACGTAGTTTATTTTATGCTCCACTTTCATCATAATGTTGTATCACACAACTCCTATAAATGGAGTCCCCTCTTACTCCTTCAGATATAGAATACAAGAATTTCTCTTACTCTCTTAATATCACTCTCTTATTTCTTACAGCTTTGACTTTGTTTCATATACTTATGGCTATGTGCTTCAGAAATTTTGATTGCTGACATTTCAAGACCATTGAGTTTATAAAAAGTGTATTGCATGAAATTCAATTACACCAACTATTAAGTACAGAGATAAATAATAGAGATGTGGTTTATTCTTTATTCCCCATATCAATTTTAGGTTTCATCATTTTATGTTTTTATTGATAATAATAGGAGATGTTAATTATCACATATTATGAGCTAGAAAATTAAAGGTCAATCTTAACCTGTAGGATTGGAGGGACTACTGGAATGTATTTTACATTTTATGTATCAAATATTATTTTGTAATTAATTTACCAATCTTTACAGCTCTGACACTGGATAACCAAAGAACTGTGGAGGAGGACCTAGAGCTACCTTTGTTCGATTTGGTTACCATTTCAAATGCCACTGACAACTTCTCGTTTGCTAATAAGATTAGAGAAAGTGGTTTTGGTCCTGTTTACAAGGTAATTTTTCATAATTTATACGAAGTTAACAATAAATTGCTCATTGTGTTGGACTTTAGAAATGGTAAATTTCCTATATTTCTTGGCTTCCTGGCTAATATTAGGGTTGATGATAAATTATAGAGTGTGCTCCCAACTGGACAAGAAATAGCAGTGAAGAGGCTCTCCAAAACTTCAGGGCAAGGCCTCACAGAGTTCAAGAATAAGGTCATCTTGATTGCAAAGATGCAACATCGGAATCTGGTTAGGCTTTTAGGATGTTGTATTCATGAAGAGGAGAGGATGTTGGCCTATGAGTACATGGCCAACAAAAGTTTAGACTTACTCAGTTTCGGTTAGGGTCTAAACCTTAAAAATCTTTCATAATTTTTTCTTGAAGTATAGTGAAAGTTTCTAACTTAGTTTGAACTGTCTCAGATCAAACAAGAGTACATCACTTGATTGGAAAAAATGATTTGACATAATAGTGGGAATTGCTCGAGGACTTTTGTATCATCATCGGGATTCAAGATTGAGAGTAATTCATAGGGATTTAAAAGCTAGCAACATTTTGTTAGACAGTGACATGAATCCTAAAATTTCAAATTTTGAATTAGCAAGATCGTTTGGAGGTGATCAATCTGAGGAAAACACAAACAGGGTTATTGGGACTTAGTAAGTACACACCCTTTATCATTCCCATCCGTTATATTGACTTATAGGGCTTGCCATTTGATATATTTCCTTGATGATTGCATGTAGTGGCTATATGTCTCCTGAATATGCAATAGATGGGCACTTTTCAGTGAAATCCGATGTTTTTATCTTTGGTGTACTAGTTTTAGAGACAGTGAGTGGCAAGAAGAATAGAGGATTTTATCATCCTGATCATGACCTCAACCTTTTGGGACATGTGAGTTCAAATTCTAATGTTGTCAATTTAGAGACTTCACAAAATTTCTTACACGTGCAATTTTTCTTTAACTATAAGAAACAAATTTGTTTTATGCTGAGAGTCAAAATTTAAATTTGCTATTTGATTTAGGCATGGAAATTATGGAACAAAGGAAAGTCCATGAAACTAGTGGATGCTTTGATGGAGAGTCTGATTCCCACATTAGAAGTGTTAAGATGTATCCAAGTGGCCCTTTTGTGTGTCCAACATCCTGAAGATAGACCAAGAATGTCAGTTGTTTTGTTAATGTTGGATAGCGAGAATCCAATGATGCCCATGCCTAAACAACCCGGCTTTTACTCAGAAAGATTTATATCTGAAACAGATTCTTCAGCAACTCCAAGAAATCCATATACTTCAAATGATCTAACCATAACCAAATTACGTGACAGATAGAATGTTGCCCGAAATTTTTAAATGTTTCTTTGAGTAGATTGTATTGCTATGTAATTTTAATTATTCTTAACCAAATTTCTAAGTTTGTAATCTGTTAGTGGAAAAGAAAAAAAGAAGAGAATTTAATTCCTTTGCTTGTGTTTTAGTTATCCAATGATGATGTTATTGTTATTTAGTGAAACCATTTGGGATGCTATCTAAGATGAACAAGAAGGCTAGAGTTTAATTTCTCTTGTGCACTACAATGTTTAGAATTGAACAAATGGAGCCTTGAGTTGCTTGACATGTTTGCATTGCAAGCACTTGAAATTGCAAAAAAAATAATAATAAATAATAAATGCAGTTGAATAGTTAGTTCTCTACAATCATTCTATCAATGGTCCTCACATTTTCAAATTTTTTAAGACACATATCTAATTTAATCTAGTTTTGAGGATGTCCTTGATTTAAAAAACTTGACAGAATGTGTAATATTTTTTTTAGAAAAATCTGAAATCAGTTTCATTTTCATGAATACAAGTTTTTCCTGTGTATAATAAAAATCTATTATGTTTTTCCTGTGTATAAAAACATTCACACGTGCAATTGTTTTTTACTATGCAATTTCTTTTTGCTATTGCTTGTGAGGTAAGAGTTTCATCCTAGGTCCAACGATTGATTTTCATTTCAATGACACATTAAGATAGTCAAAACAATTTAAGGATATTTTAGACAGTTATCCCCGTGTCACAACGGCACAACCACGTGTTATTGCATGGCTTAGTAGAGAAGATGGAACCCATGATTTTTTTGTTAGGTGATAAAGGATATCAGAAGGTATAATGATTTGTGATTGGTTTATGACATGTGTCATATGGTGTCCCAAATAGAAAGAACAATTTTTTGATATTTTATGGACCTCTGCCTCTAATTACAAAAAAAATAAGATGATTGATATTAAAAATTATAACAAATTTCGCCAAAAGTTTAATTATGGTACACTTACAATCTTATGTTAATCAATATTAGATAAATGTAAAAAAATTAATAATGTCATCAAAGTTTAAATAAAAATAAAAATTTTATCCTTAAAGTTTATTTTAGTACTTTTAAACAATAAATTAAAAATTAATTGACCAAATTGCACCTTACAGAACCAGTTAAAATCCACCACCCCAACAGCCACCAGTATCAATTTCTATCTCTCACATGCATTTTTTCAAACACCTTATATGCATTGTTAATCACCCAAACAATATCTTTCCTTGTCATATTACACAGTGTCATTCACAACCATTTCATCAAACACAGTTTCTCTCAAAATCAATCATAAAACAACAAAGGAAAAAAGCTAAAAGGATAATTGTCAAGTGAGGTAAGTGTAATTTGCCCATACAATTTTATTTTCTTTTTTTTGAGATTGTTTTCTTTGACTTGGTTTGTGTCCTTGGAGTTAAAGGAGGAAAGGAGGATTGGTAGGTGATCATTGTCAATTGTCATGGTTGGTAAGGTTGGTCCAATTTCTTTATTTCTCAAATTATTTGGCTTTTTGTAATATTTTTCTAGCCTCATGGTCAAATGAGTTGGTAAGTTTGAATATAAACTAATAATTAGATTCATTTCCACACATGTTTTGACTTGTATTGTTAGAATTTGGAAATATATCTAACATTCCACCAATAATGTATTCAATTTATGGAGTACATACATTTCATTGTTGGATTATTTTTTATGAGAGACAATACCTATGGATATGGTATTACAAAGTTTAACAAACGCGGGATTCAAATAGATGTCAGATCTGCATATTTCCCCGCTTCCAATCGTCCTCCTTATCCTGTAATTAAACACGAGATTAAAATAGGTGTGAGAGCCACATGTTCTCCACCTCCCATACCCCATTTTCTTTTACAAAGAAACGTGCACATATTGTTACCCAATACCCTGCCATTATTTGTCATTTTGTTGAATAATTTCATTTGTATTAATCAATGCGATGGGAAAAAAATACAGAAACGGTTCATGTATGCTTATGATCTGATGTTGATTAGTATCTTCTAAGAAACTCCAATATTTAATTGTACAGTCAAAGTGTCAGGTTAAAAAATTGGAAATAAGGGAACTGTTGAAATGGGAAAACACATAACAAACTATTTTAGTAACATCTCAACTGCTTTATCCAATTTCTCTAGCAGTGATGTGTCACAATCTTATTCTATCACTGATTTCCAAGTTTTGAATATTATCTTCCTCATTGACCCATATATACTTATTTTTCTTATAGAAATAGCAGTATACAACTTCTATTGACTTTGTTTGCCATTTCCAAAAGAGTGAAGAACATTGCAAATTAGGTGAGGAAAAAGAATACAGATGATTGCATCATCATAATTTTTGCAAAATGATTAGGGGAATCATTCTTTTTGCTATTTCATATTACTTGTCTGCTTTTGTTTTAGCAGATGACATGCTAAATCAATACCAGCAAATCAATGACAGTGGAGCATTAGTATCTGCTAGAGGAGATTTCAAGTTAGGCTTCTTCAGTACAAGCAATTCGAGGAGGCGATACTTGGGGATATGGTATAACAATCTCCCAGTTCAAACCATTGTTTGGGTGGCGAACAGAGACAGACCGCTTAATGATTCATCGGGCGGTCTAAAGATTGGGGATGATGGAAATCTGATCCTTCTTGACAGTGGAGGAATAGTTGCTTGGTCTACCCGTATCCAGAATATATCGTCAAAGCCTACTGTTGCACAACTCTTAGACTCTGGAAATCTTGTTTTGAGAAGTGAAAATGGTGGGAACACAGAAAGTTATATTTGGCAAAGCTTTGATCATCCTTCAGATACACTGATAGCTGGTATGAAGCTGGGATGGGACTTGAGAGTCGGTTTGAACCGGTATTTGACATCTTGGAAGAGCGCAGATGACCCTTCTCCCGGAGATATCTCTTATCGGTTCGATCTTGATGGTCTTCCACAAGGTGTTATACGTAAAGGGTCTGTTAAGAAGTACCGAACTGGGATATGGAATGGTCTGCAGTTTAATGGAGCCGTGCTTGAAAACTCTGTTTTCAAAGCTAATTTCATCGATAATTCAGAGGAAGTGTATTTCGAGTTTGATCTATATCAACAGCTAATAAGGTTGGTTTTGAATCCCACCGGAACAAAGCAATGTGTGATCTGGAACAATAGAAACAGTGAGTGGGTTGACATTAGTACAGAACCTAGTGATCCATGTGAACGTTATGGGCATTGCGGCCCTAATTCTATTTGCACAATCTCTAATGCTTACATATGTAGTTGTTTGAATGGATACATTCCTAAATCATCGCAAGATTGGAATGCGTTGGTTTGGGATGGTGGGTGCATTCCCAAATACCCATTAAACTGCTCAGATGGAGAAGGATTTGTGGCATTTGAAGGCGTGATCGTCCCTGATATGTTAGATTTTTGGATGAACACCAGTATGACTGTTAAAGAATGTGAATTGGAGTGTTTAAAGAATTGTTCTTGTACTGCTTATGCTAACTCCGATACTTCTGGAGGGGGAAGTGGATGCTTGCTCTGGTATGGGGATCTGTTTGATATTAGAAGCTTCCCAAATCCTGGTGATCAAACTCTGTATATTCGGGTTACAGCTGCAGACCTAGGTACCTTTCTTCTGATTTGTGTTCAATAATTCATTAGGCTACATAAATTTGGCCAAACACATAAACTACACTGATTTTTTTTATTTTATTTTTTATTTTTAAATATAATTTTCACTGGATGGTGTTTGTAGTGTCTAGATCAGATTCCAAGGAGAAGAAGAAGAGGCCCATGTTGGTGATTATCCCCATCTCAGTAGCTTTGTTGTTCCTCCTTGCTTCTTGTATAATATGGAAGAGGATAAAACAAACAAGAGGTAAATCTAAGGTTCCTTAATTTGGTTGAAAGTTAACAAAAAAAATAGAACTATAAAAAAAATAGAATGGAACTATAAAAAAATGTTGCATAATAAAGAGTTTATATCTGACTTGTTCTTAATGAATCTTGTATTATTACATGATCTTATAATAATACGTACGTAAGTCCACGTATTGCACCCCAAAAAAGCCCTGACTTTTTAGTTGTGGTGGTGACTTTAAGGATCATTTGGGTGGAACACCTAATTGTATAATTTTTCATTCTTAATTGTTTAAACAACAGAAATTTAAAGAAATTTCCCTAGTTTCAACGAACTTTGGCAAATTTTTTCTAAACTAGAGATGTGGCAAACCATGAGTCTACCAACAAGTTAATTGGAATGACCTATTTGTTTCATTAGAGTTTCTTATTCAGAGTTTATTCTTTTGTTGACTTGATGGTTGCTCCCATTGGCCTCTGTCAAAGACAACATTTAAATGACTTGCATTATCTTAATCCTAATATTTCATTGGTTCTTTATGATAAGATAGTTTGACAATATTGTTGGGTCTATTTCCTTGCATCTTAAGTTTCGGGATAGTTTTTTTTTTTTTTTTATCAGCAAAAGAAAGAGCCTTCATTGATGAAATCAAAACATACAATGCATATGAAAATACATCAACAAAGGGGAAGGCAAGAGCAAAAAGCATCAAAGTGTATCTCCCAAATTCCAATTAGGTTGGCACCGTGAAGAACACCCAATCATCTGCTAGCTCAAGCCAAAACGTTGGTGAGAGACCAACAGAAAAGGAAGGGGGGATAGATCAGAGAAACCAAGCAGACTATGAGGATAGAAACAGCAGCAACCCAGGATAGAGACAGCAGTAACCAAACTGAGCTAGCAGATCAACAGCCAAACTAAGCTAGCAAAACACAAGACACATCAGCAACCGAAGAGATCAACACAATCACATCTCCTCTGTTTCAGCTTCAAATTTGTTCAGATACATTTTCTCACCTGTTGTATGTTTGACACAATCACATCTATGGAGTAGAAGCAACCTATGTCCTGTGCTTTCATCCATAAGGCCACCCTAACTTTGATAAGCTCAGATAGCTCCTCAATGCTTGGTTGTGTGCCATTGAAAACACAATAATTTCTGAACTTCCACAAGGACCAAATTACTGATATAAGAACAGCTCTCCAAACTTGCCTTTCCTTCTTTCTGAACCTCCACTGCAACCACCACTGTATCAGACTTTTCAATGACCCTGCTATGACCCACTTAATACCCCACCAATCCATAATATTTGACCAAACTTGCCACAAAACGGGCAGTACAATAAAACATGATTCAATGTTTCCACTTCAGCTTTGCATAGTACACAGGATAGATCCACATTACCCCTCAACACCCCTATTCTACTTGGGAACGAAGCTGAGGTCTGTTCACAACTAAAGTTTTGGGATAATTGATGATATGACTTAGTATTAGTGCTCTAGTTCTGGGGAAGGTTTTGAGTTTGTTGTTTATTTGACCCTAGATGTGCAAGACAAGGTTTGTTTGAATTTGGTTAGTTGTCTGTTTCCCTAAAGATAGCAAGAAAGAGTCAGGGCTGCACTTAAGAAATGGTATTAAAATGGGCTGGACATTGTTGATGAATGGTGTTACAATAGCTAGATATATATTGTCAAACCAATTTTCTAATAGCTTAAGCTTTTGTGATTTTTCAGTTTGAATTTGGTTAGTTGTCTGTTTCCCTAAAGATAGCAAGACAGAGTCAGGGCTGCACTTAAGAAATGGTATTAAAATGGGCTGGACATACATTGTTGATGAATGGTGTTATGATAGCTAGATATATATTGTCAAACCAATTTTCTAATAGCTTAAACTTTTGTGACAATTGATAATCTAGCACTTTACTTTGAATAGAAAAATAACAAGGGTTTGTGCATATTCCTTTACTAATTTCTTTATCTAGATTGATATGCGAGGAGCAATTAAAAAGTGAATGTTTTTGTAATGTACCATTTTCCCCCCTCCAGATTTACTGTAATAAAGGTGATTTACCATGTCTTCTGTTTTTCTTCTATACTTGAAATACCAAATTCGCTTGTAAAACTTATGCATCAAGGTCTTGTCGAATTCAATGCCATTGTGGACTCAATGTAACCATGTTTCAAGTTTGTTTCCTGATCTTCTCATCTGTTGTGATCGACAGGTTCACGGCCAAAGATTCCATTAAAAGATGATGAAAACATAGACTTGCCCATTTTCAATATAGTCACAATTGCAAATGCTACTAACAATTTTTCTATTTCTAATAAGATTGGAGAAGGTGGGTTCGGACCAGTATACAAGGTAATTTGAACTGCACTTACTAAAGTCATAATTTTCTGTGCTACGTGTTTGTGAAAAGAGTGTAAATTCAAATCTTTGTCATGAGGGTTAAAAAAAATCTTGTTTTTCTTGTTTGTTTCATCGCTCTTCTATGTAGTGTAGATTTGCCTTTGGTGGCCCCATGTCTGTCTACGTGGCTTTCACCTTAGACATTTTGTTTGGCGAATGCCCGTGTATGATTTTTTTATCTTCAACCTTTATTTACTTTCTTACTTCCCAAAAACAAAAAACAAAAAAAAAAGCTTGTGTATTTCCATAGGGTCAGCTATCAACTGGACAAGAGATAGCAATAAAGAGGCTCTCGGAGAATTCTAAACAAGGGGTTGGTGAATTTAAAAATGAGGTTATCTTGATTGCCAAGCTTCAGCACCGAAATCTTGTTAGGCTTTTGGGATGTTGCATTCAAGGAGAAGAGAGGATGTTGATCTATGAGTATTTGCCCAACGGCAGCTTGAGCTCCTTTATTTTTGGTTTGATCTTTCGACCTTTCTTCTAACTTCTTCAATTGAATGTCGAAAACAAACTACGCACTACTCAAAGTTGTATATCATTATGCCAATTATTGAACCCAAAACTAATATTCTATACAAATGCCTCTCTTAATCTATGTGCTAGATACTACAAAAAGTAACTCTCTTGAATGGAGGAAACGCTTTGATATTATTGTGGGGATTGCTCGAGGGCTTCTCTACCTTCATCGGGATTCAAGACTGAGAATTATTCACAGGGATCTCAAAGCTAGCAATGTGCTACTAGACAATGAGATGAATCCCAAGATTTCGGACTTTGGCATTGCTAGAGCTTTTGGAGGAGATCAAATATCGGAGAAAACAAGAAGGGTGATTGGAACTTAGTAAGTACCCAAAAGATTTCTTGCATATACTTACCCAACTTCAAGTTTCACGGACTTATTTCTTGATTTATTAATTTGATTATGGCATGCAGTGGTTATATGTCCCCAGAATATATATTACGTGGGATCTTTTCAATGAAATCAGATGTGTTTAGTTTCGGAGTACTTGTTTTAGAAATAGTGAGTGGACGGAGGAACAGAAAGTTCCAACATCCTAATCATATTCACAACCTTCTTGGACATGTAAGTTTTTACTTGTGTTTGATCTCTTCATTTTTGGCATTTTCTTCCATATTGATCTCTAATATAAATGTGCTCTCTTAGGCATGGAAACTATGGATTGAAGGGAATGCCATCAAGCTAGTTGATGAGAAGTTGGAAACTTTAACAATGCTGATGTCAGAAGCAATTAAATGTATACAAATTGGTCTGTTATGTGTGCAACAACGCCCTGAAGACAGGCCAACAATGTCATCTGTGGTGTCGATGTTGGACAATGAGGGTGCAATGCTGCCCCGTCCTAAACAACCCGGATTCTATACAGAGGGAAGCAATGACGAGACAGAACTTGCATCGACAACAGGAATAAAATGTTCCACAAATAAGACGACTCTAACAATTCTACTAGGTCGTTAAAAAATTCCAATTAAAGCACTAATGCTCATGGTTATTATTATTATTATTTTTTCAGTAAGAAAGTTAATACCATATTTGATAACAGCCTTACTAATTATGTATGACAAATGATATATAAGCTTCCTTGTTTGATAGCAAACGAGATAGAATGAATGACCAATTTTTTTTTGGCCAAAGACTCTAATGCTCAAGTCAGTAAACTGGTGTGATTTATGCAATCGAGGTGAGAGTTGTTGCATACTTCCTTTGGAGTTAGGTGGGATGGATTTTGGATTGTGATCCCTTATTTCTTGTGGTGATGTGATTGTCAATTAATTTTATCTGGTTTTGAGGGTATCCCTGTTAAAAACTTGACAGAATGTATAATATTTTCTTAGAAAAATCTTAAATCAAATCTTCAATGTGTATAATACATTTATATTAAGTTTATCAAACTTGAACTAAAAACATTCACACATAATTTTTTGAACTTCACAATTTCTTTTTGCTATTGCTTGAGATAACAGGTTTCATCATAGGTCCACTCATTGATTTTCTTTTCAAAGACACATTAAGGTAGTTAAAAGAATTTAATGATATTTTAGTACAGTTATTTTGTAGACACAACCAGTCGCTACTGCACGGTTTGGTAGAAGAGGTAGAATTGATGATTTTTTGTTGGGCGATAAGCGACGGTAAAAGGCATAATGATTTATGATTAGTTTTATAATGTATCATACGGTGTCCCAGATATTGTAAAAAAAATTAATATTTTGTAGAGCTCCACTCACAATTACAAAAAATATAACGATTGATATAAAACAAAATAAAATAAAATAAAATTTCAAATTTTGCTAAAAGCTTAATTATAGTACACTAACAACAATCATACATTAATCAGTATTAGATTAATAGAAAATAATAATAATAATAATGTCATCAAATTTTAAATAAAAATATAAATTTATCCTTTAAAAAAAAATTCTTAAAATTTATTTAAAATACGAATTATCTTATGTAATTTTGAAAATTATATTCCGTCCTTCCAATTTTATAATTACATAACAAATTCATTTTATTAATAAAGCATTAAATCGATTAACATTTTTTAATAATATCATAAACATATCTCAATTAACTATTAAGATAATTTTATTATTGTATAGAAGAATAGTTAGGAATTTTATTTTTTATGTTAATTGTATTAAGTAAACAATTTAAACAATGAAATATTTGTAATTTTTCAAATCACAAAAAATAATTTGCATTTTAATTAAATGTCAGGAGGTGAATTTGTAATTTACCAATTTTAATACAATTAAATAATAATAATAAAAGGGTTTATTACGCTTAATACCTCGAAACTATTGCCAAGTGTCTATTTAATTCATGAACTATCGATTGAGTTTACTAAATTCCTAAAGTATATAAATCAAAATTGATTTAGATCCTAAACTATTGATTGAATCTATTAAGTCTGTAAAATATTTAATTCAAACATATTTAATCATTGAAAGTATTACAAAAATAAAATATAAGCTTATAAATATTGTAAATTAATAGAAGATCCTATCTAATTAAAATTTTACTTCAAAAAAATCTTATATTTTTATTTTGTTTTTGAAAAAATAGGAGTCAATTCTTATGGTGAATTTTCTCTATAAGGGTAATGATAATTATCTATAATAATTTTTTTACTTATCTTCTACTATGACTATGTATTTGCCTTTTTTCAGTATTATATGTCTGGTGCTACTATATACATTAATTAATATACTAACTAGTATACTTATAACATTATTATTGATCTCATTCATTAATTACATTACAAATATCCAAAACCGCTTAAATTATGTTACATCATTAATTGATTATACTAATTAGTATTTATAATATTATTTTTATATGTCACATCACATCTCATTTATAATTTCTAATTGATTATATGTCGCAACAAAGAAAAAAAAAGGTAAAAGGAAGGTAGAGAGAAAGGGTTGATGTTGCGATGGTGGTGGCTCTGCGCCACTGTTGGCAGTACCGGCTAGTATAGGAAGAGGTCGTCGGAGTTGGGTGCCTGATCAGAGCTGGATGGTTGGCCGGAGACAGGGAAGGAGTTCTGCAAACCAGTGGCCGGAGACTGCCGGAGTTTGGGGTAAGAGTTTGGTTGCTTTGGTAATGTGATTAATGGGTAGAATGGTATTAAAAAAATAAATAAAACAAAAATAATAAGGACCCAAAACAAAGGCTGGTGTGCAAATAAAAACTCTCAATTGTATTTTGAATAATTGTCAAGTGAGGTTATTGTAATTTGCACATACAATTTTACTTTCTTTCTTTTGAGATTGCGTTCTTTGACTTGATTAGGATGTAATTGTCAAGGGTCGGTAGGTAAGCGATCACTGTCAACTGTCATGGTTATTTTGACGATTTGTAATGTTTTGCTAGCCTCTTGATCAAATGAGCTGACAAGTTTGAATACAAACTAATAATTAAATTCATTTCCACACATATGTTCTGACTTGTATTGTTAGAGTTTGGAAATATTTCTAACATTTCACCAATAATATGTATTCAATTTATGGGGTAAATACATTTCATTGTTGGATTATTCTTTATGAGATTAGATATGATAAAATTATTGATAAGATTATTAGAGATTTATTAATAAATTCCATTTAAAGAACTTATAGCCCAATAAGTTCACAAGGTATATTTTTGTGTTCCACCCAATTCCATATATTTAGACTTCTATCTCAAGAGGTCCTTTTTTCTTAAGAAATTAATAGATGGATAAATAATTGGATGTAGGGAGGGAGGGAGGTATTATATTTGGTTAGAATGAGATAAAAAGAAGTTTAATATCCCCAATGCCACAATACCTATGGTATTACAAAAGTAAAACAAACGTGGGTTAAAATAGGTGTGAGAGCCACATGTTCTCCACCTCCCATTTCCCATTTTCTCCTACAAAGAAACAAGCACATATTGTTTACCCAATAACCTGGTATTATTTGTCATTTTGTGGAATAATTCCGCTTGTATTAATCAATGTCAGAGCCGGCCTCACTTTTTAGGGCCCAAGGCGAACTCAGGAAATGGGGCTAGCTTTTATACGTAATTTAAAAATATATGTTGATAAAATATTAGTAATTTTCAATTAATTTTTTTGTTTTGTTTGTACCTACACAAAATTTGTTGTATATATAAATAATAAAATTACTTTTTTTCACTCATGAAAATCACTTAAAATATTAAGTGAGAAATCTAATTTTAAAAGTATTAGTAAGTAAATCGTTTATAATTTGTTTTTCACAATAATTACAATATTATATTTCCTGAGCAATTTCATATGATTTTTATAGTTGACATAAATCATAGTTATTGAGATTGATATAAATCATAATTATTGAGAGAAATTTTGAATATTATTAATTTATTCATACTTTTTCCTGATGTAATAGATTGAATTGTAAAATTTAATCAATTTTAACTTTAAAAAAAATTATTTCTCCAAAAGCAATTGTAGCTGGTATAGTCAAACAACATACTATAAATAATACATACATTTGGCGAACAACCATCCATCCATTACTTTTAAATAATTCACCAATTAAATTGATTTAGATCCTAAACTATTGATTGAATCTATTAAGTCTGTAAAATATTTAATTCAAACATATTTAATCATTGAAAGTATTACAAAAATAAAATTTAAGCCTATAAATATTATAAATTAATAGAAGATCCTATCTAATTAAAATTTTACTTCAAAAAAATCTTACATTTTTATTTTGTTTTTGAAAAAATAGGAGTTAATTCTTATGGTGAATTTTCTCTATGAGGGTAATGATAATTATCTATAGTAATTTTTTTACTTATCTTCTACAATGACTATGTATTTGCCTTTTTTCAGTATTATATGTCCGGTGGTACTATATACACTAATTAATGTACTAACTAGTGTACTTATGACATTATTACTGATCTCATTCATTAATCATATTACAAATATTTAAAACCTGTTAAATTATGTCACAACATCAATTGATACACTAGTTAGTATAGTATTTATAGTATTATTTTTATATGTCACATCACATCTCATTTATAATTTCTAATTGATTATATGTCACACAAAAAAAAGGTAAAAGGAAGGTAGAGAGAAAGGGTTGATGTTGCGATGGTGGTGGCTCTGCGCCACTGTTGGCAGTACCGGCTAGTCTAGGAAGAAGTCGTCGGAGTTGGGTGCCTGATCGGAGCTGGGTGGTTGGCCGGAGACAGGGAAGGAGTTCTGCAAACCAGTGGCCGGAGACTGCCGGAGTTTGGGGTAAGAGTTTGGTTGCTTTGGTAATGTGATTAATGGGTAGAATGGTATTAAAAAAATAAATAAAACAAAAATAATAAGGACCCAAAACAAAGGCTGGTGTGCAAATAAAAACTCTCAATTGTATTTTGAATAATTGTCAAGTGAGGTTATTGTAATTTGCACGTACAATTTTACTTTCTTTCTTTTGAGATTGTTTTCTTTGACTTGATTAGGATGTAATTGTCAAGGGTCGGTAAGCGATCACTGTCAACTGTCATGGTTATTTTGACGATTTGTAATGTTTTGCTAGCCTCTTGGTCAAATGAGCTGACAAGTTTGAATACAAACTAGTAATTAAATTCATTTCCACACATATGTTCTGACTTGTATTGTTAGAGTTTGGAAATATTTCTAACATTTCACCAATAATATGTATTCAATTTATGGGGTACATACATTTCATTGTTGGATTATTCTTTATGAGATTAGATATGATAAAATTATTGATAGGATTATGAGAGACATGTTATTTGAGAGATTTATTTATAAATTCCATTTAGAGAACTTATAGCCCAATAAGTTCACAAAAAGTATTATTGTGTTCCACCCAATTCCATATATTTAGACTTCTATCTCAAGAGGTCCTTTTTTCTTAAGAAATTAATAGATAGATAAATAATTGGATGTAGGGAGTGAGGTATTATATTTGGTTAGAATGAGATGAAAAGAAGTTTAATATCCCCAATGCCACAATACCTATGGTATTACAAAAGTAAAACAAACATGCCCCACTTCCAAGAGTCCTCCTTATCCAGCAATCAAACATGAGATTAAAATAGGTGTGAGAACCACATGTTCTCCACCTCCCATTTCCCATTTTCTCCTAATAACCTGGTATTATTTGTCATTTTGTGGAATAATTCCGCTTGTATTAACCAATGTCAGAGCCGGCCTCACTTTTTAGGGCCCAAGGCGAACTCAGGAAATGGGGCTAGCTCTTATACGTAATTTAAAAATATATGTTGATAAAATATTAGTAATTTTCAATTAATTTTTTTTTTTGTTTGTACCTACACAAAATTTGTTGTATATATAAATAATAAAATTACTTTTTTTCACTCATGAAAATCACTTAAAATATTAAGTGAGAAATCTAATTTTAAAAGTATTAGTAAGTAAATCGTTTATAATTTGTTTTTCACAATAATTACAATATTATATTTCCTGTGCAATTTCATATGATTTTTATAGTTGACATAAATCATAGTTATTGAGATAAATTTTGAATATTTTTTATTTTTAATATTATTAATTTACTCATACTTTTTCCGGATGTAATAGATTGAATTGTAAAATTTAATCAATTTTAACTTTAAAAAAAATTATTTCTCCAAAAGCAATTGTGGCTAGTATATTCAAACAATATACTATAAACAATTCATACATTTCGCAAACAACCATCCATCCATTACTTCTAAATAATTCATCAATTCATTTGTCTTTTATTTCTCTTAAATTCTCTAAACCTTCATTTTAAAACTATTAATACTATAATGTAACTAAAATGAAATTGAATTGAATGATATGACCATTCTTTAGCCTCTTTATAGAATGATTATTCCCTTCACAATGGTGAAGGATGATTTCATTTATAATTCTTTTTATTATTTTTTAGTAAATCAAACATGAGGATGGGCGTTATGATGGAATGATTATTCCATTCAACTTCATTTCAATATATCAAACATAACTTAAGACTGAAATATTTAAGCAAACATAACTTAAGATTGAAATTATTTCAGAGTCCTATTTTTTGGACAGAATTCCGCGGCCCGAGGCAGCAGCCTTGCTTGCCTTGCCTCAGGGTTGGCCCTAATCAATATGATGGGGAAAAAAATGCAGAAATGGTTAATGTATGCTTATGAGCTGATGTTGATTAGAATCTTCTAAGAAACTCCAATATTTAATTACAAAGTCAAGTGTCAGCTCAAAAAATTGGAAATAATGGAACTGTTGAAATCGGAAAACACATAACAAACTATTTTAGTAACATCTCAACTGCTTTATCAAATTTCTCTAGAAGTGATGTGTCACAATCTTATTCTATAGCTGATTTCCAAGTTTTGAATACTATGTTCCTCATTGACCCATATATATTTATTTTTCTTTATAGAAGTAGCAGTTTACAATTTCCATTGATTTCGTTTGCCAGTTCTCAAGAGTGAAGAACATCGTAAATTAGGTGAGGAAAAAGAATACACATGATAGTGTCATCATGATTTTTGCAAAATGATCATGGGAATCATTCTTTTTGCTATTTCATATTACTTGTCTGCTTTTGTTTTAGCAGATGGCATGCTAAATCAATACCAGCAAATCAATGACAGTGGGGGGCGTTAGTATCTGCTAGAGGAGATTTCAAGTTAGGCTTCTTCAGTACAAGCAATTTGAGGAGCCGATACTTGGGGATATGGTATAACAATATCCCAGTTCAAACCATTATTTGGGTGGCGAACAGACACAGACCGCTTAATGATTCATCGGGTGGTCTAAAGATTGGGGATGATGGAAATTTGATCCTTCTTGACAGTGGAGGAATAGTTGCTTGGTCTACTGGTATCCAGAATATATCATCAAAACCCACTGTTGCACTGCTCTTAGACTCTGGAATCTTGTTTTGAGAAGTGAAAATGGTGGGAACACAGAAAGTTATATTTGGCAAAGCTTTGATCATCCTTCAGATACACTGATAGCTGGTATGAAGCTGGGATGGGACTTGAGGGTCGGTTTGGACCGGTATTTGACATCGTGGAAGAGCGCAGATGACCCTTCTCCCGGAGATATCTCTTATCGGTTTGATCTTGATGGTCTTCCACAAGGTGTTATACGTAAGGGGTCAGTTAAACAGTACCGAACTGGGATATGGAACGGGCTACAGTTTAATGGTGTCGAGCCTCAAAACTCTATCTTCAATTCTAATTTCATCGATAATTCAGAGGAGGTGTATTTCGAGTTTGATCTATATCAACAGATAGTAAGGCTCGTTTTGAATTACACCGGGACAATGCAATGTGTGATATAGAACAATAGGAACCTTGAGTGGTTTGTCATTAATACAGTACCTAGTAATCCATGCGAAAGACATGGCCAGTGCGGTCCTAATTCTATTTGCACAATCTCTAATGCATTCATATGTAGTTGTTTGGATGGATACATTCCTAAATCATCGCAAGATTGGAATACGATGGTTTGGAATGGTGGGTGCGTTCGCAAATTCCCGTCAAACTGCTCGGATGGACAAGGATTTTTGGCATTCAAAGGCATGATCGTCCCTGATTTGTTAGAGTTTTCGCTGAACACCAGTATGACACTTAGAATGTGAATTGGAGTGTTTAAAGACTTGTTCTTGAACTGTTTATGCTAACTCCGATACTACTGGAGGGGCAAGTGGATGCTTGCTTTGGTATGGGGATCTGATTGATTTTAAAAGATTCGCAAATCCTGGTGATCAAACTTTGTATATTCGGGTTACAGCTGCAGACCTCGGTGCACTCCTTGTTATTTGTGTTCAATAATTCATTAGGCTACATAAATTTGGCCAAACACGTAAACTACATGATTCTTCTTTTAAATTTTTATTTATATAATTTTCACTGGATGGTGTCTGCAGAGTCTAGATCAGATTCCAAGGAGAAGAAGAAGAAGCTGCTTTTGGTGATTATCCCCGTCTCAGTGGCTTTATTGTCCTTCCTCCTTGCTTCTTGTGTCATGTGGAAAAGGATAAAACAAACAAGAGGTAAATCTAAAGTTCCTTAATTTGGTTGAAAGCTAACTTTATGTGGAATTTATAGTAACTAAAGATTTTGTAGTCAATGTTATTTAAATGAATAGAACTATAAATAAATAAATCAAACGGAAGGCAACAACAAATGAAAGCATGATTTAGAATTAAATTATATGAGATAAAACCATCCCTAGTGTGTTAAGTGATATTTTTGAGTTTTCTCTCAATAGTGAATACTGAAAATATTATATAATGAGGAGTTAATATTTGACTTATTCTTAATGAATCTTGTGTTATTACAGGATCGTATAAAAATAGATACACAAGTCCACACATTGCACACCAAAACAGCTTAGCTTTGTTGAGACTTAAGTATCTCTGAACTAGAAATGTGTCAAACCACGAGTCTACCAACAAGTTAATTGGAATAACCTGTTTGTTTCATTAGAGTTTCTTATTCAGAGTTTATCCTTTTGTTGACTTAATGTTTGATCCCATCGGACTACATCAAAGATGACATTTCAGTGGCCTGAATTATCTTAATCCTAATATATCATTGGTCCATTATGGTAAGATAGTTTGACAATATTGTTGGGTCTATTTCCTTTCATCTTAAGTTTTGCGATAGTTGGCGATCTAACTTGGTATTATAGCTCTAGTTCTGAGGATGGCGTTTGGTTTGTTGTCTGTTTTCACCTAGATATGCAAGATGGGATCTGTTTACAGCTAAAGTTTTGGAATAATTGGTTATCCGACTTGGTGTTAGCTCTCTAGTTCTGGGGAAGGCTGTGAATTTGTTGTTTGTTTGCCCCTAGATGCGCAAGACAAGGTTTGTTTGAACGTGGTTAGTTGTCTCTTTGCCTAAAGGTTGGAAGACACTGAGAAAGATTGGGCTGCACTTGAGAAAAGGTATTAAAATAGGCTGGACATATGTTGTTGATGAATGGTGTTAAGATAGCTAGGTATATATTGGCAGATCATTTTTATAACAGCTTATGCTTTTGTGACAATTGATAATCCAACAATTTACATTGAATAAAAACATAACAAGGGTATTTTGTGCATACTTTTATACTAGCTCCTTTATCTAGATTGATATGCAAGGAGCACTCAAAAAGTTAATGTTCTTGTTAAGTCATTTTTTACCCCCTCTCCATATTATAGTCATTTGTGGACACAAATATAACCGGGTTTCAATTTCGTTTGTTTCCTGATCTTCTCATCTGTTGTGATCGACAGGTTCACGGCCAAACATTCCATTCAAAGATGATGAAAACATAGACATACCCATATTCAATATAGTCACAATTACAAATGCTACAAACAATTTTTCTGAGAAGGTGGGTTCGGACTAGTTTACAAGGTAATTTCAATTGCATTTACTAAAGTCATTATAATTTTCTGTGTTGTGTATTTGTGTGTGCGCCTCAAAAGAGAGTAAATTCAAATCTTTGCATGAGGGTTTGAAAAAATCTTGTTTTTTCTTGTTTGTTTCATTGCTCTTCTATGTAGTGTCGATTTGCCTTAGGTGGCCCCATATAGGTGGCTTTCACCTTGGTCGTTTTGTTTGGCAAATGCCCGTGTATGATGTTTTTATTTTCAATCTTTATTTACTTTCTTACAAAAAAAAAAAAAAAAATCTTGTGCATTTCCATAGGGTCAACTATCAACGGGACAAGAGATAGCAGTAAAGAGGCTCTCGGAGAATTCTAAACAAGGGCTCGGTGAATTTAAAAATGAGGTTATCTTGATTGCCAAGCTTCAACACCAAAATTTTGTTAGGCTTTTGGGATGTTGCATTCAAGGAGAAGAGAGGATGTTGATCTACGAGTATTTGCCCAACGGCAACTTGAGCTCCTTTATTTTTGGTTTGGTCCTTCGACCTGTCTTCTAACTTCTTCAATTGAATGTCGAAACCAAACTACACACTACTCAAAATTGTCCACCATTACGTCAACTATTGAATAGAAAACTAATATTCTATACAAATGCCTCTCTTGATCTATGTCCTAGATACCACAAAAAGCAACTCTCTTGAATGGAGGAAACACTTTGATATTATTGTGGGGATTGCTCGAGGGGTTCTCTACCTTCATTGGGATTCAAGATTGAGAATTATTCACAGGGATCTCAAAGCTAGCAATGTGCTGCTAGACAATGAGATGAATCCCAAAATTTCAGACTTTGGCATTGCTAGAGCTTTTGGAGCAGGTCAAATATCCGAGAAAACGAAAACGGTGATTGGAACTTAGTAAGTAACCAAAAGATTTCTTGCATGTACTTACCCAACTTCAAGTTTCACCGACTTCTTTATTGATTTATTAATTTGATTATGACGTGCAGTGGTTATATGTCCCCAGAGTATGTATTATGTGGGCTATTTTCAATGAAATCAAATGTTTTTAGTTTCGGAGTACTTGCTTTAGAAATAGTGAGTGGACAGAGGAATAGAAAGTTCGGACATCCTAACCATACTCACAACCTTCTTGGACATGTAAGTTTTTACATGAGTTTGTTCTCTTCATTTTTGGAATTTTCTTCCATTATTGATATCTAATATAAATGTGCTCTCTTAGGCATGGAAACTATGGATTGAAGGGAATGCCATCAAGCTAGTTGATGAGAAGTTGGAAACTTCAACAATTCTGATGTCAGAAGTAATAAAATGTATACAAATTGGTCTGTTGTGTGTGCAACAATGCCCTAAAGACAGGCCAACAATGTCATATGTGGTGTCGATATTGGATAATGAGGGTGCAATGCTGCCCCGTCCTAAACAACCCGGATTCTATATAGAGGGGAGCACTGATGAGACAGAACTTGCATCGACTACAAGAGTAAAATGTTCCACAAATAAGACGACTCTAACAATTCTACTGGGTCGATAAGAAATTCCAATTGAAGCACTATTGCTCATGGTTATTATTATTATTTTTTTCAATAAGAGAGTTTTAATATCATATTTGATAACAGCCTTACTAATTATGAATGACAGATGATGTATAAGTTTCCTTGTTCGATAGCAAATGAGATTGAATGAATGACCAATTTTTATTGGCCCAAAATTTCAGACTTTGGCATTGCTAGAGCTTTTGGAGCAGGTCAAATATCCGAGAAAACGAAAACGGTGATTGGAACTTAGTAAGTAACCAAAAGATTTCTTGCATGTACTTACCCAACTTCAAGTTTCACCGACTTCTTTATTGATTTATTAATTTGATTATGACGTGCAGTGGTTATATGTCCCCAGAGTATGTATTATGTGGGCTATTTTCAATGAAATCAAATGTTTTTAGTTTCGGAGTACTTGCTTTAGAAATAGTGAGTGGACAGAGGAATAGAAAGTTCTGACATCCTAACCATACTCACAACCTTCTTGGACATGTAAGTTTTTACATGAGTTTGTTCTCTTCATTTTTGGAATTGTCTTCCATTATTGATATCTAATATAAATGTGCTCTCTTAGGCATGGAAACTATGGATTGAAGGGAATGCCATCGAGCTAGTTGATAAAAAGTTGGATACTTCAGCAATGCTGACGTTAGAAGTATTAAAATGTATACAAATTGGTCTCTTGTGTGTGCAACAACGTCCCGAAGATAGGCCGACAATGTCATCTGTGGTGTCAATGTTGGATAATGGGAGTGCAATGTTGCCCCGTCCTAGACAACCGGGATTCTATATAGAGGAGAGTAGTGATGAGATAGAACGTGCATCAACTGTAGGAATAAAGTGTTCCATGAATGAGAGGACTCTAATGGGATGATAAGAAATTTCAATTAAGCATATTAGCTCGTGTTTATTATTATTAATTTTCAATAAGAGTGTTAATGCCATATTTGATAACAGCCTTACTGACTGATGATATATAAGTTTACTTGTTTGATAGCAAATGAGGTAGAATGAATGACTGATTTTTACTGGGCAAAGACTTTCCGATGCTCAAATAGTACACTGGTGAGAGTTATGCAATCGAGGTTAGAATTGTAGCATACTTCCTTTGGAGGTAGGTGAGATGGATTTTGGATTGTGATCCCCTATTTCTTCTTGAGATTTTTTGTTCTTTTTTTTTTTTTTGGGGAGAATATTCTCATTTTATAGCAAAGCGAGATAGAATGAAAGATAAAAGACAATTTTAGTTCTCAAAATATGCAATTTTTTGTCATTATAGTTCATTAAATTTTAATTTTGTCATTTTGGTCCTCAAATTTGTCAATTTGAGTCAACTTGGTTCTAGGTTTAACGTCCGTTAACAGAAACATGAATAAATGACGGTTTTGGTCCCTAAAATATGCATTTCTTGTCATTTTAGCCCCTCAAATTTTAAATTTTGTCATTTTACTCCTCAAAGTTGTCAATTTGAGTTAATTTGGTCCTAGCTCAAATTGACAACTTTAAGGATCAAATTGACAAAATTTATAACTTGATTAACTAAAATGACAAGAAATGCATACTTTAGGGACCAAAGCTATATTTTGTTCATATTTCTATTAACGGACGTTGTACTTAGGACTAAATTGACAACTTTGAGAATCAAAATGACAAACTTAAAACGCATACTTTAGGGACTAAAATTGTCTTTTATCCTAGAATGAATGATCGATTTTTATTGGCCAAAGACTTTTTTTGTAATGTTATTGTCAATTAATTTTATGTGGTTTTGAGGATTTCCTTGTAAAAAACTTGACAAAATGTGCATTATTTTTTTAGAAAATTCTTGAATCAAGTCTTTCCTACGTATAATACATTTCTATTTTGTTTATCAAACTTGCACTAAAGACATTCACACATGTAATTTTTGTAATAGTAAATTATGACAGTAGTCCTTATACTTTGGTCTTTGTGTTATTTCAGTCATTGTAATTTAAATTGGCTCGATTTTGACTTTGAATTATTACTTTATGTCAATTTGATCCAATTAGTTACAAATCTTAGCATTTTTTTAAAGAAAATATACATATAAGTGTCATGTGTCATATTTTTAAGGGTAAAATTATAAATTTACCCAATGCAGTACGTTAACATCAACTAATTTTATTGATAATTTTTCTTGAAAAACACTAACAATATTATCAATTGGATCAAATTGACGCAAATTTGAAATGAATGATCAAAATTAAGTCAATTGAAAAAGGAAGAGCCAAAATGATACAAAGAGTAAAATACAGGCACCACCGATCTAATTTGCTATTTTTTTAACTATGCAATTTCTATTTGCTATTGCTTGAGTTAACAAATTGCATCCTAGGTCCAATCATTGATTTTCTTTTCATAAACACAATAAGATAGTCAAAAGAATTTAAGGATAATTTATTATTCTGTGTCGCAATGACACAGCCACTTGCTATTGCACAACTTGGCAGAAGAGATAGAATTCACGATTTTCGTTGAGTGATGAGCAACAAGAGTAGGCATAATGATTTGTGATTAATTTGTAATGTGTCATATGATATCCCATATATATTAAACAATTTTTTAATATTTTATAGACCTCCGCTTACAATTATAAAAAACACAACGATTGATATGAGAAATGATATCAAATTTCACTAATTATAGTACACTTACAATTATACGTTAATCAATATTACATAAATGAAATAATAATAATAATAATAATAAAAATGTCATCAAATATTAAATAAAAATATAAATTTTATCCTTAAAAATTTATTTTAATACTTTTAAACAATAAAAAAAATTAATTAACAAAATTGCACCTTCCAGAACTAATTAAAAGTTTACCCAAACCCACCAAAACCTTCACCCTTCCAACCCAACAGTCACACCAACCAATTTCTATCTCTTACATGCATTTTGTCAAACACCTTCACCATATTTGGTTTGTTTGTTGAGAGGTAATTTTTGAGAAATTTTTTTTAAAAAATTTTTAGTTGAATTTTTTTTAAAATTTTTTAATTACTTTTCTCTCTATCACACATTAATCAATTACTTTTTCTCTCTCCTCACTCATTCTTTTACATTCTACACATCAATCGATTACTTTTTCTCACACCTATCTATTCACCTATAAAAAAAATAAAAAAAAAGGTAAATTATGTAAATGGTCTTAAGTTTACGCGATGTGTCAATTTGGTCATTGTTTTAATTTGCTTGATTTTGCCCCTTAATTTAACGAATTGTGTCATATTGGTTCAATAAATAATAGCCGTTAGGTTTGGTGGACGAAAACTCAAACAATGTGTCAATTTGGTTCTTGTAGTTTAAACGATATGTCAATTTGGTCCCTGTTAAAATCAAGCAAATTAAAATAACAGGGACCAAATTAACACATCGTGTAAACTACAAAAACCAAATTGACACGTTGTTTAAGCACGTGACGACTTTTTGTCCACCGAACCTAATGGTCGTTATTTATTAGACCAATATGACACAATCCGTTAAATTAAGGGGTAAAATCGAGCAAATTAAAATAGCATTGATCAGATTGACACATCATGCAAAATAAATGGACTATTTGCATAATTTACCCAAAAAAAAAAAATTCATCTGAGGACTGCAATGTCATGGATACTTAACCCAATTAAATTTTTATTTAATTCCGTTTAAGCACCTCATTTTCAAGTGTTTGATTTTAATTTTGAGACCTCGTAATCCGTGTAGTGTCACCACACTTTGTAACTTTCTTGTTTTAATTTTCTAAATCACTTCCGAGTTAAAGATTTGAATTTCGAATGTGAGGTCGGAACAAGAGTGTGGGAAACACCTTAGAAATTGATTTTCAACCACTAGGTTTTCTCGCACGTGTGAATTACTATAAGCGTGGATTGGTTTTCTAGGGACTAGACTGCACGTGCAGAGGCCAGGGCCGCATGTGTGGGGATCTGGAGTTGGGATGGGTTTTTCTTTTGCGTGAAAACGCACGTATGGCCTTGGGCCACCGCATGTGCAAACGAGGTAGTCGCATGTGTGGCCATGGGCTCCGTACATGCAAGGTTTCGCATTTTTGTCCCGATTTTTTAGTCCATTTCACTCAAATCTGATCCCAAAACCCTATTTCTCTCATTTTCATTATACCTCTCTCTATATGTCACTTCTCTCTCTCTCTCTCTCTCTCTCTTTCTCTCTCTCTCTACATTTACTCCACCAACCCCACATTTTCTTTGATTTCTCTCAATCCATTGAGATTTTGACCCTTGTTGTGTTCGGTGGAGATTAGTTTTCGACACTGTCAAGATTTGGGGTTTTTCTCTATTCTCCTCTCCATAGTTTGAGGTAGGGATTTTTTTTAAGTTATATATACATTTTAGCAAGTCTATGCTTTTTGTTAATATATATGTGTGTTTTGAGTTAGGGTTTGATTAGATGGGGTTGTGATTTGCTCAAATGAGGGTTTTCTCAAATATTTCTTACATAGTTCTCAAATCTTTAAAATATTGGACTATGTGGATGATGCGAAGATTTTTTAAGAGAAAACCCCTCTTCAAAAATGAGAAACCCTAATTTTTTGAAAAACCCTAGATTCTGGAAATTAGGAAAAATGTTGTGTTAATTGTAAAATCAAGATTTATGAAATATTGTTGTTGAGAAATGATTAAAGTGAATTGTTAATTGTAAATGTTGAAAATCCATGGAATGGAAGATTGATGTTGAGAGTTGATGAGAATGGCATATTGTTATGCTACTGTTGAGAAATAAAGATTGGAAACAATAACTATCATATTGAAATTTCTTCGACTATATGAGAAAGAGAATGCATATTATGATGTGTTATTATTATCTTTTGAAAAATATATAGTGTGTATATATATATTGAGTAGAGGTTGGTATTTGATCACAAATGAGGATTGTGTCATTGAGATTGAAAATTATTCATTGTGTTTGGTTTCAGTTTTTTGAATTCAGTTTTCTAAAAATTGAATTTTTTATTTTTTATATTTTTTTGTTTTTAGTAAATATTTTTAAAATCTTAAGCATTTTTTTTTTACTTTTTTAGATGCACATTACTTAGTTGTATCTAAAAAGTAAAATACTTGTGAAAAAATATTTTAAACAATTAATAAATATACAAAAAATATATTGAATTTTCATTTTTTTTTTGTATTTTTGGTATTAGGTAAAGTTTTTTAAGATTTTTTCACGAAAATAATACTTTTTGAGTGTAATTATGTTAGGTGTGTCTAAAAATTAAAAAAATTGCTTAAAATATTAAAAAAAATCAATAAAAACAAAAAAATATATATGAAAAATAAGAAAGTAGAATTTTCTAAAAAGTGTTTTAAAAAAACTAGAAACAAACATGGTAATAAAACTTTGGAAAATTAACAATGTATTGATATATTGCATTGTCATATCATTTCATCCTCATTGCTTTTCGATTTGGCATGGTTGAGACTACATTTTGAATAAGGAGTTATTTTGCGAAACAAATATTGTTTTGTATTGTTTTGGAGAAAATACGTTTGGTAAGTCTAGTTAGGGGGTGTAGTGTGGTTAAGCTAATACAAAAATTTCGATTTTTTGCAACGGCAAAATGCCGTCTCAAAAACGTTTTTGGGACGACAATTGACTTTTAGCGACGGCAAAAGTGGGGTCACAACAAAGGGCGTTGCTAAAAGTTTTTAGCGATGGCAAAGTGTCATCACCTTTTTTTTGCGACGACAAAGTTGCCTTTTTGCGACAGAATTATGTTGTCAGCATTAATATGTAAAAATTTGAAATTTTTTGAGACGACACTGTGTTGCCGTCACTAAGTGTTATTTGCGACGGCAAAACATGCCGTTGCAAAAGTGTTTTTATTGCAACTGGGTACTTGCCGTTGCTAAAAAGCTATTTGAGACAACACAAACATGTCGTCGCTAAAATATTATTTGCGACGGCAAACAATACCGTCGCGAAAGGTTTTTTTCAATTATTGCCAATATCTTTTGCGACGGCATTGCTTACGTCGCAAAAAAAAAAACTGGTTCTTATGTTTTTTGGAGACGGTGTGGTGCTGTCTCAAAAAAGAAAAAAAAAATTGCAATAAAAATATTAAAAACATGAAAATTATCTATATTAAATGAAAAATAACTTAAAAAGAAACCGATAATTATATAATAATATAAAAATTTCAGTATAAAAATAACAATTTATCCATAATAAAAATATTCTTCCATTCGTAATACATTAGCAAAATTATCCCACTACATAACGAGTCAATACCTTTGAACTAAACCCAGAAAGACTGGTCAGAATGCAAATTGGCCACTAGATCCATAAATAAAGAATATATTAACAAAAGACCAAAATAAAAGCTAAGATATACAAAAGGGGGCCAAAGATTCTCCCAGGCATTATCAGCATTCTCTGAAACTGTGTAGAGATGGCAAGAAACTACAAAAGAATCGGGTTTCTTGGCCATGACACTGAGACCAGCATTCAACAAAAAGCAAACACATCATCATATCATCTGGCATTTAGGCGTGGATTAAGGCATCACTCCCAATAATTACAGCACAGAATCCTTCAATTTTGACACGGGCCTCCCTATGGCATGTAACCTGGATCAGTCGCTCTTTTATCTGCAAAGATAAAAATAAATAAATTAAACGTTTAAAATCATGTTTTAAAAGTATGATAGAATGGCATGTAACCTAGATCAGATGCTCTTTATCTGCAATAAAAAATAAAAAAATTTGAAAAAAAAGGTTCAAACAAAAGTCCTGTCTCCACAATGTTGAGGCAAGGACACCCACACAGCATATGCACTATGTATACCAACTCAAGAATGAAAGCATTGCTACACTAGTCTATTGAGGAAAACCTCTAATCTATCGAGCCACAAGTGATCACTTATTTCCTCAAGACCACACCGAACCCATTACATGAATTCTCAAAATTTTCAGATATCTAAAAGCTCAACCAGAGTGAATATTTGTAAGTTATATGCACAAATTAACTTTCACCAATCGACAATGTTATCATTGTAATACACCACTCCCATAAATGAAATTTCTCACAATCTTATAACCATTTTTCTCCCTCAACACACAGGAATTGAATGAATAGCATGATTTAAAGCAATTTATCATATCTGATTCCTTTGGTTACTATTGCCAAATCTCAACATAAATAAAAGCAGTATAACTAAATTCTATTAGTTCTCAATAAAAAAACAAACATATAAAATAGATATCAGAACACGCAAATTAAAGGAGGTGCCAAACTGACATGTACATTGTAATTGGAAGTGCTGGCAGTATTGGAGTGATGATGCAACGAAGAAATTCTTAATCAACCAAAGCCAAATCCTTCACTAGCTTCATGGATAGCAAGGACCAAGCGCTCTTGAAGCTGTTCCTTGGAAGTATACTCAAGAAGGTCTAGTTGATTGAAGCTGGGGAAAAAAAATCTCAAACCGGGAACCCGATTCGAGTCCCGTCTTCTCCCACACGTCTCTTGTGCCTAGGCGGCCATGTGTGCCAAGTTTTGTGCTAAGCCGACGCCGTTTGGTGATTTTGGGACATCAACACTTCGAATTCAAGTTTCTTAAGAAACTAGTTTGCCTAAAGTGAAATCTGACTCTACCTCCCAAACCGGGAACCCGATTCGAGCCCCGTCTTCTCCCACAAGTCTCTCGTGCCTAGGCGGTCGTGTGTGCCAAGTTTCGTGCTAATCCGACCCCGTTTGGTGATTTTGGGGCGTCAACACCTCGAATTCAAATTTCTTAATGAACTATTTTGCCTAGATCGAAATCCGACTCTAACTCTCAAACCAGAAATCCAATTGGAGTCCCGTCTTCTCCTACAAGTCTCTCGTGCCTAGGCGGTCGTGTGTGCCAAGTTTCGTGCTAATCCAACCCCATTTGGTGATTTAGAGGCGTCAGCACCTCGAACTCAAGTTTCTTAAGGAACTAGTTTGCCTAGAGTGAAATCCAACTCTAACTCCCAAACCGGGAACCCAATTGGAGTCTCGTCTTCTCCCACAAGTCTCTCATGCCTAGGCAGTCGTGTGTGCCAAGTTTCGTGCTAATCCGACCCCGTTTGGTGATTTTGGGACGTCAAAACCTTGAATTCAAGTTTCTTAAAGAACTAGTTTGCCTAGAGTGAAATCTGACTCTAACTTCCAAACCGAGAACCCAATTGGAGTCTCGTTTTCTCTCACAAGTCTCTCGTGCGTAGGCGGTCGTGTGTGCCAAGTTTCATGCTAATCCGACCCCGTTTGGTGATTTTGGGACGTCAAAACCTTGAATTCAAGTTTCTTAAAGAACTAGTTTGCCTAGAGTGAAATCTGACTCTAACTCCCAAACCGAGAACCCAATTGGAGTCTTGTTTTTCTCCCACAAGTCTCTCGTGCCTAGGCGGTCGTGTGTGCCAAGTTTCGCGCTAATCCGACCCCGTTTGGTGATTTTGGGGCGTCAACACCTTGAATTCAAATTTCTTAAAGAACTAGTTTGCCTAGAGTGAAATCCGACTCTAACTCCTAAACCGAGAACTCGATTGGACTCGTCTTCTCCCACAAGTCTCTCGTGCCTAGATGGTCGTGTGTGCCAAGTTTCGTGCTAATCCGATGCTATTTGGAAATTTTGGGGCGTCAACCCTTCAAATTCAAATTTCTTAATGAACTAGTTAGCCTAAACCGAAATTCGGCTCTAACTCCCAAACCGGAAACCCGATTGGAGTCATGTCTTCTCCCATAAGTCTCTCGTGCCTAAGCGGTCATGTGTGCCAAGTTTCATGGTAATCCGACCCCATTTGGTGATTTTGGAACATCAACACCTCGAATTCAAGTTTCTTAATGAACTAATTGCCTATAGTGAAATCAGGCTCTAACTCCCAAACCGAGAACCCGATTGGAGACCCGTCTTCTCCACAAATCTCTCGTGCTTAGGCGGTCGTGTGTGCCAAGTTTCGTGCTAATCCAACCCTGTTTGGTGATTTTGGAACGTTAACACCTTGAATTCAAGTTTGTTAAGGAACTAGTTTACCTAGAGTGAAACCCGCCTCTAACTCCCAAACCGGAAACCCGATTGGAGTCTGTCTTCTCCCACAAGTCTCTCGTGCCTAGGCAGTCATGCGTGCCAAGTTTCGTGGTAATCCGACCTCGTTTGGTGATTTTGGAACGTCAACACCTCAAATTTAAGTTTCTTAAGAAACTAATTTGCCTAGACCGAAATTCGGCTCTAAATACGCCAAAACCGATCGAACTCAACCGATCAGCCGCATTTTGAACGGATGCGTGATGACACGCGGACGGTTGCGGATTGATTTTCTCCAATCCGCAATCTGACGAATGGATGGCGGATTTAAAATTCCTTTAGCTACAATCGAACCGCCTAATCGCGAGTACCCCTAGTAATTTATAAGACTTTGTGTTTTTAGTTTGTTTAAATATTCTGTTTGTGTTTTCAATTAAAAAAGAATTTAAATATTCTGTTGAAAAAAAATTTCAACTTGAGTATCTTTTTTGAATTGAAAAAATTAAGCGTATTATTTATCTATATTTTTTTGTTTTTAAATCTATCTCTAAAAATAATAGATAGAAAATATAATATATGCTGCCTAGTTTTTGTTTTCAAAAACAGATATAGATATAACAATACAGAGACATATAATCTCTACTACTGTTCTGTTCATGATTTTGGTAGTTTGAATTGTTTTTATATTTTAAGAACCACAGATTGTAATACTTTATCTGGATGAGGCATGTTGTGATTGTAGTATGTGGATGAGGCATGCAATGATTGTGATATTCTAAAGTTTCAAACTTTCTTACTTTGCATGAGGCATGCAGTGATTATAATATTTTTTTAAGTCATTGACTGTAATACTTTCTTCTTCTTTTTTTTTTTTTTTTTGAGGAAGTGCACAAGTTGAATTATGTTGAAAATTTATAAAATTTTAAACCGCCAAACCGATTCACATCCATCCGCCAAACCGCTAATCCGCTCAATTCACATCCGTCGGATTGGCGAACGGATGCGGATTGATTTTCTTGAATCCGCCAATCTGGCAGACGGATGACGAATTGAAAGTTCCATGGCCGCAACCGACCCGCGCCCACCCCTAGCCGTGTGTGCCAAGTTTCGTGCTAATCCCACGCCGTTTGATGATTTTGGGGCGTCAACACCTCGAATTCAAATTTCTTAAGAAACTAGTTTGCCTAGAGTAAAATTTTTTTAGTGTTTTATCATCTTGAACTAAATGCGACTGTTTTAAAGTAAAATCAAATTTTAACAATTGTGCCCTATAACTGAACCAAGAAATGAAAAGGCAAGTTCCAAAAATATGATGCATTATAATTTATAATATTGTATAAACTAATGTATGAGGATGAGAATATTGAACAAAAAAGTTTCTTGATTGCAATTATTCATGATGTTCTAAGAAGATGAATTGATTGACACAAACTAGTCATCTCTGTGTCCGTCTTTCTCCCTTACACAAACTATGCTCTCATTTCTATGCCTTTGTCATCTCTATACATCTCATTTCTATGCCTTTGTCATTTCCTCTATACATATATATATATATATATATATATATGACAACAATTGTATACATCCAGAAAAACCACTGACTAGCTACATCCAAAAAAAATGCTATCCAGCAGATGCCAAAATTAATACCTTTTGTATGCAGCTACGCAAATAATAAATAAACTATAATTCTTTTGAATCTTCCGTTAAGAAACACTGCATAAATATGAGTAACTTACCCCCCAGTGTATTTCTTTCTGATTTATCAGATTGGCTGCATCCTGGCCACTCCCAACAAGTGTAACACCTTCATCATCAGAAATTGAGCTTGGTTGTCCAGGAGAAATTGCAAAGAGGTATTATTAGCTCAATGAAAAAGAAAAAAATTAACTAAAACACCAAGATACAGTAGAAAAAATATTATCATGATGAGAAACATGCAATTAACGAGCAGGGAGCTGCACCTTGAAAGTTAATATGCTCATTAATAATCCCAAGCATTGTAATGGATTGTGTCTTGTGTAAATATTGCAGTAGAAGCTCATAGGAGTACTGGAGGGAAAAGTGGGAAAAAAATGACATTTAGCTTTCAGATAATCCCTTAAATTACTTTAAAATGATTTGCTTTTCCCTTGTATAGCCCCATCTTAATCTACTAATAAATAAATAAATAAAAATTAAAAGAAGGTGCCCATCTGAATCAATAACTAGGCTCTAGCCAATAAAATTCTAACTTCTAAGCTTACATATATGAAGAAAGCAAACAATGGCAAGCAAATCAGGTGAGTGTTTAGGAAGTCCACCACAATGTTAGTTCATATATTAAACAAATAACTGACTCTCCTAGCTGTAATCAGAAGAACTAAGTTGAACAAGGACAGAAGTCCTCTACTATAGTACACAGACAAGAACATCATAGCATCAACCTTTGAAAAACCAAAACTCAATCTTCCTTCCATTGGCTCCAATCCAACTATTTAGTCTTAAGCTAAAGTTAATCCAAGTGGCTTAATAGCTAACTGAATGTGAATCAAGAAATCACCTAGCATATCTTAAGGTTCACTTTGCTCTACCTCAAAGAATGAGCAAACTCCATTTCCTGCAAGGTGTAAACAAAGTTTATCAAGAAGCAGTTAGATTCGTAAGTGCAAACAAAGAATGAGCAAACTCCATTTCATCTGGCTTTCAGTTTAGCTAAAAAATAAAGATTAATAGTGAAAATACGAAAACAAACAAAAAAAACTATGTAGCAGTTCCAACAATATACTGCCAAACATGTCTATGCATCATTTCCAATTATTTGAGTATTGAAGAACATTAAAGTTTTTGAGACTATAGCAATTAGCAAATGTCTCCTAAATCCAAAATCATCTGTTTGGTATTGTCTTTGAAAATTATTTTGTATTCTTAAAAATAAAGAAAATGAAAGCAACATAGTAAATGTTTGACCAAACTGCTTTCAAATACTGTATCGGATATTCTTAATAATAACCCATTTCAGAAAACCATACTGTATGTTAACTTCCAAACATTTAGGCTCATAAAAGATTAATTATGATTTAAAAATTACTGTAATCAGAATATGAAAACTAAGAAGAAAAGAAAAAAATAAAAATACATGAATGTTTGAATCATGAATGTTATTTGCCAACCTATTTTGAATCCCATCAAATAAAAAATCAAAATATTTTTTTTCTTTCCCAATCTTTATAATTTCCCAGCGTTTCCAACAAACCAAACAGTAAAAAAATAGATAAATACCAGTGGAAAGAATGCCGGGGACTCGAGAGATTTGAGGCATGTCGGTGGGGATTGATTGGATAGTGAAAAAACAATCTCAAGATTCGTGTTTATACTGACAAAAACAAAACAAACAATCAACCAAGTATAAGCATAGTAAAAAAAAATTCATAATTATACTGACCAACATCCAATCAATCCAATGTACTTATGTATGAAAATCTCAAGATTCATGTTTTTACAGACCTAACAACACTTCAGAACCTCCCTTTCTTCTAGATGAAGAATTTACACAGTAGCCATTGATTCATTTGATGAATTTACACAGTAGCCTAGATCACGAATTTGATGAATTTACACAGAGATGAAAAAAAAAAAAGAGTCAGACAGAAATGAAGAGAAGGCCGGGGAGAGAGAGAGAGAGAGAGTCAGAGACAGAGAGGCTTACCTGTGAGTTACAGAGCAGATTGGTTTTTTCGAAGGTCGATCGGTCTCTTCGCCGAGAGGCTCGATCGGTGCGATGAGAGAGTGAAGTCGATCGATCGATCTTGTGATGAGAGAGAGTCGATCTCTTGCGAGGTTGATCCGATCGATCCAGATGAAAAACGAGAGAGTGAAACTGATGAGATGAGAGTGAGAACTGCGCTGTGTTTATGAGTTCGAGAGAAATCTTCACTATTGATTGACGCTGCTCTGTGTCCATCTTTCTTCCTTAAAGAAATCTTCACTAGTGATTGACGCTGCTCGATGCTGTCGCCTGCCGCTCGCAGTCGTCTGTCACCGCTCGCCGTAGAGAGAGAGAGAGAGCGCCATAAGAAGAGATTAGGGATTTTTGATTTTTGAGATTGGGGATTTTTGGTTAAGGAGGGAAAACTGAGCGGGAATGGGAAAAAAAGGGCTAGGCCTCGTATTATTTTATTTTTATTTATTTATTTTTATTTTATTCGTCATAAATGAATATTTAAATAATAAAACGGCGCCATTTAACTTTATTTTTTTTGCAACGGGAGTTGTCGTCGTTAAAAAAGTTCGTCGATCGTCGTCCCAGCTCGCCGATTGTCGTCGCAGCTCGTCCGCCTCCGCCGATCGTCGTCCCAGCTCTGCCTTCTTCTCTTCTTCTTTCTTCTTCTCTTCTTTCTTTCTTTCTTCTTCTTTCTTCGCCTTCTTCTGTATTTCTGATTGAAAAAAAAAAAATTCAAACGACGAAACGACGTCGTTTCGCCAATTAGGGGGATTCGGGAGGCTGAATTCGAGCTCTCTAGCACCGGTCCTTTTGAGAATGGGGATTTTTGGTTGCAAAAATGACTAAGACACCCAGTGGGGGTCACTAGGGGTCATGAATTGAGGTTTCCCATTGGTTAAAAAAAAAATTTTTTTTTTTTTTTTTTTTGTGATTTGGACGAATGGCACGCTGCCACCTCACTGGGGGTCAACCCCCAGTGGGGGTCTGTAGCAAAGTCCTTTTGGTTGAGGAGGTAAACTGAGCGGGAATGGGGAAAAAGGGCTAAGCCTCGTTGTGTTTTTTTTTTGGTCGCAAATGAATATTTAAACAATAAATGGCACCGTTTAATTTTTTTTTTTTTACAATGAGAGTTGTCGTTGCTAAAAAAAAATTATTTTTTGTTAAATTAATTTTTTTTTTTGTAGTTAATGAATTTTTTTTTTTTTCATTTTTTTTAGTTACTAAGGTTGAAAATTTATTTGTTTCATTTTTATTTTAATGAAATTTTTTTTTTCATTTGGTAGAAGCAGGAGTAATATTTTAATAAAAAATATTTTCCGTTAAAATAAAGCTAATTTTTTTTTATCAATGAAAAATATTTTTCTACGGTCTTTTTTTTTTTTTGTTACTAAAAATCAAGAACTTATTTTTTGTGGTAGAAGAAAGGGAGTGGAGTAGTGGTGACGGTGGTAGACAAGAGGGGTGGTGGTGGTTGCGGCGAAGGAGACTAGTGCTGAAGTTGTGATAGTGGTAAAGGAGATGGGGTGGCGGTGGTGGATGAGAGATAACAGTAGTAGTAGTGGCAGTAGTGGTAGTGGTGGTAGTGGAGTGGTGGCGATGGTGGTAGCAATGGTAATCGTACAGGTAGAGTGGCAACAATGGTACTAGTGGTTGTAGTGGAATAGCATTTGCAGTAGTAGTAAATGTGGTAGAGGAGATGGGTGGTGAGAGAGAGAGAGATGAGTGAGAGACAGATAGAGAAGAGAGATAGAGTGATGAGCGAGAAAGAGACAAAGTGGTCGCTAAAAGTGCATTTTCTTGTAGTGGATCGATAAATCGAGAGGGAGCTCAATAAATAGAGAAGAGATGAGGGAGAGACTGAGCAAGGCGAACACAGTGGGGGAGGCAGACAGGCAGACAAACAACAGGCAAACAGAGAGAGAAAAGAGTAATGAGTGACAGAGAGAGAAAGAGATAGAGAGAGACAAAGAAAGAAAGAGATAGAGAGAGAAAGAGACATAAAAAGAAAGAGAAACAAGAGATGAGCAAAAAGAGAGAGAAATAAAGCGAAAAGAGATTAAATAGAGAGACACATAGAAAAAAAAGACAGAGAGAGAAGAGAGATGAACGAGAGAGATAGAGAGAGAGAGACAAAAAAAAAGAGAGAAACAAAAGATGAGCGAGAGATAGACAGAGAGAGAGAAAAAAAAAGAGCGAAAAGAGATAAACGAGAGAGAGACAGAGAGAGATGAGCGACAGAACGAGAAAGACAAAGAGAAGAGAGATGGGTGAGAGACACATAGAGAAAGAGAGAGATAGACAGACAGACAGACAGACAGAGAAGAGTGATTAGTGAGAGAGAGAAAGAGAAGAGAGACAGAGACACAGAGAAAGAGAGAGACAGACAGATAGAAAAGAGTGATGAGCGAGAGAGAGAGAAAGAGAAGAGAGACAGAGACAAAGATAGAGACACAAAAAGAAAGAGAGAGACAGACAGACAGAGAAGAGTGATGAGTGAGAGAAAGAAAGAGAAAAGAGACAGAGATAGAGACAAAGAGACAGGAAGATGAAAAATGGGTGAAAAAATAAATGTTATATCAAAAGAGTAAGACGACGTCATTTTTTTTTTTTTGTGATAGAAAAATACCGTTCCATTTATTTAAACCATTTTGTGACTATACGAAGCCGTCTCAAAGCCACAATATATATATATATATTTTTTACTTTTTTTTTGTAACAGTACCTATTACAGTCGCAAATTTTTTTTTTTTTTTTTTTTGCGACTGCAGTTGGTGCCGTCGCAAAAACTCTATTTTTTTGCGACAGCAATCTCTGCTGTCGCAAATACTCTATTTTTTGAGACAGCAAGTTGCGCCGTCGCAAAAAGTCACATTTTTCGCGTCGACAAGTTATACCATCTAAAAAAGCCACATTTTTTGCGTCGGCAAGTTGTGTCGTCTTAAAAAGTCACATTTTTTTGCGATGGCAAGTTGTGCCGTCTCAAAAAGTCATTTTTTTACGACGGCAAATTGTGTCGTCGCAAAAAGTTATTTTTTGCGACGACAAATGTGCCGTCGCAAAAAGTTTTGTTTTTTAAGCCCACTTTTCTTGTAGTGCAGTTGACCTGGTGAAAATCTAGAAACATGCGCAAAGTAGGTTCTAATTTCTTTCCAGTTAGGAGCTAGTAAAGTGGCATTGGTAGTACTTGATATGCCTACTTGCAAACACCAACCTAAGGCTTACTTAAGCCATATTTACCATCCATTGATTATATATTGAAATCATTGGATTAATTATGTTTTCAAACGAGCATTGTGAGACCCCTAACTTTTGTAAGCCCTATTAAGTCCCTAAATTTTAAGTTATTATA